TGAAAGAACTGACTATAACATTTGTTGTTCAGTCTCTGTGCAATGGGAAAGCCCAAGGCTCATCTGCAGTCCTAGCAGGAATTAGTCTGTGAGGCTGGACCATCTCAGCCAGCAGTCTTGAAGCTGTTCTGGATGCAGAACTCTGAGGAAACTGCATCAGAGTCACTCTGCGAGGGTGGATCACATGGGCCACTGGCTTTCATTGGTGTCTGATCCCCTAACTTCAGTCAATTGTCTTTACTTAGACTATTTACATATAATAACATTTTCTCATAATTTCATTGCCACTGGATCTTTTTGTTTTGTTTTGTTTTGTTTTTTGAGACAGGGTTTCTCTGTGGCTTTGGAGGCTGTCCTGAAACTAGCTCTGTAGACCAGGTTTGTCTCAAACTCACAAAGATTCTTCTGCCTCTGCCTCCCTAGTGCTGGGATTAAAGGCATTCGCCACCACTGCCTGGCTGCCACTGGATCTTTATCAGACTTTGCTGTCAAGGTTAAGCCAATACAAAATGTTGAGGAATACTGCATATCTTGCCATGTATCATGTATTCTCCTGGATGTTATCTTACTTTCTTTTTTTTTTCCTCTTTCTTTATTCTCCCCTCCCTCCTCTCCTTCCAGTCACTCTCCCTTCTCCCCAAGATCCACTGCTCCTCTATTTCCCTTCAGAAAAAACAGGTCTTTTCATCTCATCCCTACAGTGACAGACTGGGAAATAAGGATTTCTTACATGGGACTTTGGAGGGTATGCAACACCCAAGCTGCAACACTGTAATACGTTATTATACGTTATTCTACAATATTCTTATTTTCTTTCGTTTTTATATAGTCAAATTGCTTCTATTATTGTGTTTGTTGCTTTATTAGGCCAGTGATTGTTTACCAATTTTTTTTAGGCTAATCATTTCTTTAAACCTTTAACTTCAAAATCTTTTAACAGATTTCATAGTGAAAGTCCATTGGCCTTGTCTGAAAATATTATTTGCCTTAATTAAAACCTAGGTTGTCAGTTGTCTTCCCTTGGCACTTTGAAGTCACTCTCCCATTGTCTCAGGCTTCAGTGTTACTGTGGAGATGTCTGCTCTTCTTGGTGTCACTCCACTGAGAGGTAATCTGATCTTTTGGAGATCTCAAGATTCTTTTCTACTCTCTTGTAACTTTACTTCTGTATCTAGTGATACATTTTATTTAGACACACAACTTTCCATACTTCCCATCTAACGATGTCATAAATTATTTCTTTGGATGTTGTCTCTTAACAGGCTCTCTATTCTTTACTTCTAGGTCTTTAATTAGATTTTCACCTTTCTTTTGAATTTGGTTTTGTCTCTCTTGTTTTTCAGCTTCTTCATCGTTTGCACTGCAGACCTTTCGATTCATATTTTTTTTTTTGGTTTTTATGAGACAGGGTTTCTCTGTATTGTTTTGGAGGCTGTCGGTCCAGCTTGGCCTCGAACTCACAGAGATCCGCCTGCCTCTGCCTCCCGAGTGCTGGGATTAAAGGCGTGGGCCACCACCGCCCGGCTCATAATTTTTTTGTTTACCTTTATCTTACCACTGAGTTTTAGATGTCAGTAACTAAAATTTAAATTTCTATAATTCTTTAAAAAGTCCATTGAGACTTTTTTTTGAGACAGGATCTCACTGTGTACCTCTGACTGATTTGGAACTCCCTATACAGACCAGGCTGACCTCAAACTCAGAGATCTACCTGCCTCTACTTCTTGAGTGCTGAGATTAAAGGTATGTGCCACCATACCTGGCTGTCTGGTACTTCTTGACAGCGCCTTTTATTTACTCTCATGCTTTCTTTCCAGCACTTAAAAATACCAATAAATATTTTAGCCACTGCTAAAAAAACACCAATTACTCTAATGATAGAATCTACCAGTGTTCTATTTTTATTGCACATACTGGATTTTGTTCATGATGACTTGTTTTTACATATTTGTTTCAGTTTTGGGATTGTAAATTGCTTGATAGGGCTTTATCTCTGAGGTCTGAGGAATCTTTAACACAGTTCTCCCTTGAAAGGGTGTACTTGCTTCTGTCCATCTACCTGGATGCAACTAATCTGGTATTACACTGTTATTGTTTTGACATTTCCCAGATCATGTTAATTGTGAAAATGAAAATTTTGAATCTGTCTGCAGACACAGGAAAATATCAAAGAAAATCACAGCATGCTTGAAAAGGATTCTCAAACAGGCACATCCTCTTTTTCTGTTGTCTAGGTTTTTCTTTTAGTTTACCATTTCAGGATGGATATTATATTTCAAATTTTCTTGTCTTAAATGGAGAATTTTACTTCCAACATAGGTTCTCATAAGGTTCCATGTCGACGAAGGCTGTATCCTGTACCCTTGTCACCTAAATTTATGATTATGTAACTGAGGTTAATGCCTCCATGATAGTAGTGGGTTAAGTACCATCTTAATAAGCCAGCTTTCAGTTCCTTACTTAGATGCCCTATGAGTATGCAATATAGTTTTGAGAAGTAAGTTATACATCTTGAGTAGTTTTATAGAAATATTTAGTAGTACTTCTTGTCAATTGTGTGTACATGTGTTCCTATGTGTAGACATACGTATATGCACAGAGGCCAGAGGCTGATAAAACATGCTTCCTTGATCCCCACTTTATCATTTTGGAGTTTCTGGCTGAAATCCGAGCTCACTGAATGACTGGCTAAAAGCTTCCAGAATCCACCTGTCTCCCTCCCTCCTCAACCAGCACTAGGGTTATAGGTGCACACACCCATACCTAGACTTTGTATGAAGATGCTGGCAATCTGCACTTAGGTCACTTTACTGACCTGGCTATCAGTAAACAATACCAGTTCTTGTTTAGTTGCAGAATTTTTATCTGACATTAGATGGACTACTACATCGAATTCAGTTTTTCAAATCTAAAAAACCTCTTCTGCACACTATTTTATGGACATCGTATGAGAACAAAAGTCAGGAGGGCTGGGGACACAGCTCTGTGGTAGATGTCCATAAAATAGTGCCTCTATACCCCTAATGATGGGATTAAAAGTGTATATCACCACTCTGTTCACGTGAAGCTATGGGTGGAACACAGGGCAGGAAGGATATTACAGGATGCTTAACTTCATGAAGCACGTAGTTCTTTGAGACATTTTCATGTTATAGCTGTTCGTGTTCCACTGTACAGGACAAGCATGGCGATCCAGTTGCATAATAGACACTCAAATGTAAGGTGTCTTTCTTGTGAGTCACAAGGATACTCCTTCAACAAGGTGTTTCTTTCATTTAAATCAAAGTTTATTTTGGATTTATCAAATCACTTGTAGTTACAGGTCATCTCTGTAAGGATGTGTATTGTAAGTCAACAGACTTCTGGAAAACCAAGACAACATACAACTAGTGATATTAATGGGTGGCAGGTTGCAGGGTGGGGAAGGGTCAAACTCTTCTTATAGCAAAATAAAAACACAATCCTCAAGCTTGATTAAGTTTTCTATTTATCATTTTGATTTCAGAGAGAACATGAGAAGAGTTTAAGTAAAACAGGTACACCTCATCAATCCCAAGAGTCAAGTTTTTAAAGATGTGTAATATCAGAATGTATGTTAGAATCAAAGGTTGTAATTAATAATCAGTTATGTTTTTAATGGTTGTATCTGAAATATGTCCTATAATAGATGGGTGTCTATAGTTAGGATCAGTGAATTAAAACTAATATGGTTCAGTAAACTACCAGCCAAAATATTAACCTACGCAGCATGTAAATCTTAAGTGGATGCACTTCATATTTATATCAACAAACATTCCTTATTGTGACCAGGTGCTGATTTAAAGAGTTTTATTTAACTCATTTCTTCTCCTCTTTACTTAAGTTGTTACAAGCTTCATCTATATTCCTTGGTGTTTCTCTTAAAACTTACGAAAACCTACTGGTTGGCAGACAAATGAATCTCTTGATGAAGCATTCCTATGAAAATATTGTACTAACATTTAGTATCTGCAAAGAATGGAGAACAGGTATAGTGTGTCTAAGAATGGTCCTACAGAAGGCAGGATAATGATCCCCCAATACAGAAATTTGTGTCTCTAAATCCAGGAACCGCATAACATATGCTTTCCTGATGCCGTTAAGAATGCAGACCTGGAAATGAGATTATTCCAGGTGAGTTCTAAAAACTGCTCTTTTTTTTAGCCAGCTGTAGAAGGCTCAAAAAAAAAAAAAAAAAAAAGGCACCATCCTGGTCAAGTCACATCTTCTATCTTCTGAGAAGGAATGCAGTTTCTCTGACAGTCGGATTTTAGCTTTAGGAGACCTGTCTAGGAACTGCGGCCTACAAAGCCACAAGGCAGATTAATGTTGCCTTAACACATTAATGCCGTTTTTTAGATGAAGAAAACAAACTGGTCACAACTGCACTAGGCCAAAGACTTGCTCCAGCTAAATCAACGGCATACTGCGTAGTACACGAACACTAACAAGTGCAAGAAATAAGTTTTTCTCTTTTTGGCTTCATTAACTTGTCTGGGAGGTGTCAGACGCCAGGCAGCAAACATTTGGCTCATGCTCAGTACGCCATGCTGGAGATGCTAACAGGCTGCTTGGTGCGAGCTTCTTCCCCAGGGCGGTTCACAGGGTCAAGAAATACACTCCAAGGGTTAACCGAGGCCCTTGCTCACCTGGTTCGTGCAAGGGCTGCTGGTTTTGCACTCACAAGAGTGAATTTGCAATAAACTAGGTAAATGCAAGAGGACGACCCCCACCCTCCCTTGCTCCATGCTTCCGGGCGACAAAACTACCACCCGGACGGCCATCTTTGCAGGCATCACGACGTCCTTTCCCGCTCTTGGAGGATACCACGCGCCTCGAGCCTTAGCAAAAACACAAGTTCGAAGTCAGCCAGCCAGCCAGCCAGCCAGCCAGCACTACCAAATCTCGCGATACTTGGGGGCGCCAGAGTGCCGTCCAGGCCGAGCCGGTCCAGCGGAGAGAGCGTGGCAGCCGGCTTAAAGAACTGACCCATCTATCTTCCCGCGAGATCTGGAGGGAAGCGAGACCCGGAGGGCGGCCAGGCAATTGTTCTCGCGAGATTTGGGAGGGTCGGGGTAGGCTGCGGTGACGCTGCCCTCCCGGCCCGAGGCTCGGCGTTGCCGGCGGGCGATGCCGGGCGAGCGGGCGGTGTACGTGCCTTGGCCTCCTCGCCGCCGACCGCTGGATGCCGAGAGCAGCGGGGTTGCCGGGCGCCTTTCCGCGGCCCGATGGACGACTCCTCCCCGCAGCTCCGCGCGGGAACCCGCCAAGGTATGAGCTCCCAGCTCGCTCCTCTGCCTCTGCGCAGACAACACAGGAACTTCCGGAAGGGGCTTCCGCCTGGCTCCTTTGATTGACAGCTGACGGTTTAGACCCCCCCACCCCCTCAGTGCAGCAGCGCAGGAACTCCGGGGCTTTTGCCCGTCAGCCTTAGGGACGGCAACTTCAGGATTTGGTGCTGCCCCCTCAGCAGTGGGAGCGTGGATGCCTCATTTGTAAAACGGGGACAACTGGGTTCCGTGACTGTTAGAGGAGATGCGACGACGTGCGCAGGGGACTCTCCACTTTGGCCCATAGTGAGAGTTCAGTAAATGTCAGATACTTTAGTTTTCTGTCTTCGTATACGCCGGTTATTAGTCAGTAGTGGGGATTTGTTACGTAGACGGGCGAAGGCTTATTTAGCTGAGTGTAGTCTTATTGCACAAAGAGCTTACTTACCCCATGGTGTGTTGAAGCAGAATTCTGCCTCTAGTAGGTCGCCACGAGTTTTTGAAGAAGGCGTGGTTAGCTCATAAGTCATCAGGATTCAGGCTCCCCCCCCCAGCTTTTATTAATAATAGGGATTGCTATAGCAGATTAAACAATTATTTTGTGCACGTCTGTATGCACGCATGCAATCAGGAAGTTAGAGGACAGCTTGAACGAGTCTGTTCTCTCCAACCACCTTGTGAGTTGTGGGAGTGGAACCTAGACCACCAGTGTTAGCAGCAGGTGGAGCACCCTACAAGACAGAACAGAACAGATAATACAGTTGATTGTTTTTGTGCCCAGGAAACTTCTGACAAATCTTGCTTTGCCTTTGAGAAAGGTATCTCGGGAAAACAAGGAGGGATTCAGTGCTAACTCTCAGAGTAGGCAACAAGCCCTTGAACTCTCAGGGCTAAAAATTGATAATGTCATAAGTGAGGACCCACAAATACAAATGCCTTTATGAGTCTGGCTGATCAAGGCAAATAAGTGTATCTTCTAACTGGAGATTATGCAACTGTTATGCTTATTTCTCGGTTGACTGTAGTGGACGATTCTGTCACTTTGGTATTTTAGGGGGAGAAGTACTGACAGAAAGGACAGACCACTCCAAGGCTCTGAGGTGGGAGCATGTTTTCCATGTTGCAAGCAAACAAAGAAGGCACGTTGGGATTGAGGGAGACATCCCAAACGTTAAGCATTATCACCAGTTCCATCCTTCAATGAGAAGTCCTCCCAGCTTTAACATTTCCAATCCCTGTAGTAACTGACTCAAACTTTATCTGTTTGTTTCTAGAAATTATCCAAACTCAGGTACGAAGGTGCCCATAAGATATGTCCTTCTGGTGTTTTCCACTTACAGTCCTACCTGAGAAACTTTTCCTAGACTCCCGTTCTCTACAATATGTTTCCCAATACTTCTTTCCCATAGCACTCCATTCTCTTCTTCCAAAGTATGTTTGTCATTATGTTTATGCCTGTGTACTTTTTTAGTGACTGTCATCTCACTGGATCAATAGTTTGTTTTCACTTACAAATTAAGCTTATATTTGTTAAATAATCTTTTGTGTGTTATAGTCCTGGGATTTTTTTTCACTAGAGGGTTTATTATTCCAAGTTGTGCAGATAATAAATCAGATATTTAGAATAGTTAATATATATTTAAACTACTGATACAAAGTTTCTTCAATAATAAGTCAAGCTATAGTTTTTGGTATTAGAAACAGTACAACTGAACACTAATAAATGGCATAAGTAGCAGGTATACAAGGGAAAGGAATAGAGAAAAGGAGGATATGGAATAATAAGCTTTTGCTCCTTGATGTTTTAGGCATCTTTCATTTCTACATTTACTTACTTATTGACACACACCCCATGAGGGCATATTCTTGGAAAGGAAATTATCTGTAGTGGAAGAAACATACTTCAATGCTGTTGTGGGAATGAAATTCTGGAATAGAATAATGGGATGCCTGCTAAGTGAGGTAGACTAGAGATAGAGGTTGTGAGTGATTCCGGATAAAGTGATGGTGGCATTTATTAAGGGAAACGTCATCAAACTACTTACTATCTATGGGCTAAATCAAATCTGATGCTGCCTTTTTAAAATTTTATTACAATAGACCCATGCCCATTTAGTTATTGTCTGTAACTGCTTTTGCTTAAAAGAGTAAAAGAATTTTGTTTTTTAAAATATAATTTAACAAGTAATAATTGACTATAGATAAGGTTTTCCAGCTCCTTTCCAAAGATGTTGACATAAAGAAAAGTGATTTTTGTTTTTTTTTTGTTATTTTGTTTGTTTGTGTTTGTTTTTCAAGATGAGGGTTTGTGTGTGTGTGTGTGTGTGTGTGTGTGTGTGTGTGTGTGTGTGTGTGTGTGTGTGTGTGTGTGTAGCCCTGGCTGTTCTGGAATTAGCTCTATAGCTCTGTTGACCAGACTACCCTCAAACTCAGAGAACTAAGAGATCCTCCTGCCTCTGCCTGCTGAATGCTTGGGTTAAAGATTTGTACTACCACTCCCAACTGTGATGTGTTTTTGAAGTAAAACCAGGAAAGATATTGTGATAGATAGCATGTGGGAGCAATATAAAAAGAGGTGTAGCCGGGCGGTGGTGGCGCACGCCTTTAATCCCAGCACTCGGGAGGCAGAGGCAGGCGGATCTCTGTGAGTTCGAGGCTGGCCTGGCCCGACAGCCTCCAAAACAACACAGAGAAACCTTGTCTCGTAAAAACCAAAAAAAAAGAGGTGTAAGGACTTATGGTTTCCTACCTTGAAAATTGTAAGTGATCCCAATTAATAAGAGGCAGGGAAACTACCCACTACCATTTTTGACATTGTTCTTCTTTTTATACCCATTATGTGGTACAGTATCTGATAAGTAACTGATGTCTAAATCGTGTATGTTGACTGTCAAATTAAAGAATTGGGTTTTAAAAATGAGAGGATATTTCCTAGGTAGGGGGATGGATCATTTAAAACATATACTGTGTTAGGAACTGCTGTCGAGGTATCGTTAGCTCAGGCTCAGCTAGCACTGTCCCAGAAAGAAGACACTTTGACCTGCACATCCTTTTTACTTGTAAAGTAGGTTATTAATTTTATGATAGTATAACAGTTCTCAGTTTGGATCTAAAAGAATAAGAGTGGGAGAACAAGGTTTTCCATGTGTACTTAGGATTCCTATGGTAAAACCGTCTCAGCAAAGTTCGTGGGAGTAATGCTTCTGAGGAATAACTGATGAAGACTGTCACTGTGAGTTATTTTTGCTTAAGACAGCATAGACCTATCATTATAACCTAAAACATTATGAAGTTCTAACTGGAACACCTCAGGAAGACCATAGGAAACCACTAGTGGTCTTGTAGAATCAGTGAGGAGTGTGTAAGGAAAATAATCTACAATATCCTTACAGTTATAGCTGTATATTTTTTGGATCCTTGAAGTGAGGAATTCCATTTGGAAAATTGTTTTTACTTGTGTTCTCCATTTAGCACCCTTTAAATTGCTTAATAGTATATTCTGGGACCCCCCCCCCCAGTGCTGTTTTTAGAATTAGAAAATGAAACAAATGGCTGAACAGTTAACAAAGAGTAAGTTTAGATGTGTAGAAATCAGAATCTTCAGTGAAGAATAGGATCTTACAAAGGGCTCTTAGAACTCATCTTTAGCTCTTTCTTTTTAAAGGCTTACTTTATTTTATGTGTATGGGTGTTTTGCCTACATATATATGTGCACCACATATATGCCTGACGCCCAGGGAAATCAGAAGAGGGTGTTGGATAACTTAGAACTGATGTTATGGATTGTTGTGAACCACCATGTGAATACCAGGAATTGAACCCTGCTGTTCTGTAAGAGATTCATATGCTCTTCAGAGTCATCTCTCCAGCGCCTAGAATTTATCTCTTATAATTTGAAGTGTTCAAAACCCAAAAGGGATCAGCTGTAATGGTTGTGACATCACTGTAGTTAAACAAGAGGTTCTCTTGGCTAGTTCCATACCTGTGTCCAGAGAGGGATGGAGTAAATATGTCACAAAAGAGTTGCTTTCCTGAAGGTTTTAGTGTACTTTTACTGTGTCTATTTCTCTTACTGTACCATAGAAGGAGAATGTGTATAAGGTTCACGAGTCAGCAAGAATATTTAAATCAGCAGAGCTCAGCTCTGGTGGTACATCAAGATCAATTTTAAATCCAACAATAACAACCAAACAAATAATGAAACCGAATGTCCATGACTCATATCCATTACTTGAAGTCAGCAGAGGTCGTAACCCAACAAAATGTCTTTAAAACCCAGAGAAGGTAATGGCACACAGCTAGGATAAAAGATACAGAAAATAAGCTATACTGGTGGTTATAGGAAAACATCTGATAATATATCTTTTTAAAAACTGTCTATGAAAATACATGTTAGTTTCAGTTATTTGGAAAACTTGTTTTTTTTTTCTCAGTAGGTAAGTGACTTTATACGTTTTTTGGAAAGTTAATTATCTTCCTCGTTATAGACAGGTGGTGTCCAGGAGAAAGATGTCTCGCTCCTTCTTCAGATAATGAAAAGCTTTGTGAAGCAAGCATAAAGTCTATCACTGTGGACGAAAATGGGAAGCCATGTGCAGTTGTCCTGTATCCAGATTTTCAAGAAAAGAAAATACCTCTTCAAAGACTCCAAGAAGTAAAATCAACTAAAGATTGCTCCAGGAGTTTTATATTTGATGATGAAGATTTAGAAAAGCCTTATTTCCCAGATCGAAAGATTCCATCATTGGCTAATGCTTTTAAATTATCTGAAGATGGAGACTCCATTCCTTACACCATTAATAGGTACTTGCGAGATTACCAAAGAGAAGGGGCTCAGTTTCTCTACAGACACTACATTCAGGGAAGAGGGTGTATTCTTGGCGATGACATGGGACTTGGAAAAACAATACAGGTACTTACATTAATTACTTTATAATTACAAATAAGGTCATCCTCTGTATAAGAGTGCATATACTCTGCAGGTCTCTATTTGTTTTGTTTTTTCAGGTCTTATGCATGCTGTCACAGTTTCTGAGTTTGTGTGTGCATCCGCCCTGTTACACCTAGAGTATGTGATTTCCTTGTAGTCGTCCCTAACCTCTGGTTGTTACAGTCTTTCCTTTTCTTCTTCGGCATAGATCTGAGCCTTGAGGGAAGGGATGTGATGAAGACATCCATCTAGTGCTACGTGCTCCCAAGTTTCTCACCTGGCACTAGCACTTTCTTTAAGCAAGCAAAAACCTCTTAAAAGTGTGACTCTGAAGGCTTCTGTCTCTTTATGTTCTGTGAGATGAAGAAAATAAGGATGTGGTTATCTCTTGCTTTTGTCTCTTTTTTTTTTTTTTTTTTGGTTAGGCCTTTGGTTTAAATGTTTGAACTGTTTCCCACGCTCATATTTATTCTATATCAGGAGCTTACTGCAGGTGAGGAAAGATGGCCTAAAAAGATCTTCATTCTATGTTTGTCATATATCTGTGAATTCAGATTTGTATAGACCTGCACTATATCTGTGAATTCAGATTTGTATAGACCTGCACTGTGCCAGTGAATTGCGGTAGAGCAGCTTGGCCTTCTCCAAATATCCATGTTTCTTTTGCTATGGAGTAGTAGCCCTCCCGAATAAAGTGTTTGGCTAATCTTGTGTGTCAGTGTAGCTTTTGACAGACTTAGGCCGGTAACAATAACATAGACACGATGAGTGCCATTTCGGCCCTGTTCCATGAACCACCACCTGTATGATTCTTACATCCTCCTTTTTCCACTTATAGCTAACATTGCTTTAATTAACATATCAAGCTAAGAGATTTCCATGGTTTTAATTTCCCTGCTCACTCAGGGTGTATTCTCAACTAAAATACAAGTTTATTTTTATTTTAGCATACCTTTTTGGGTGGGGGTGAATGAAGCAGTGAGGTTAGAAGTTAGTGTATATTATTACTATTATCACTAGTATATTTAATGATTTAGGTAGAGCTTATTTCTAATTGGACCTTAAAATTTTAGTTAGACATTTTTTTAAAAGGTCTGAGTTTTTCTTTTAAGATTTGTTCTTTATTATGTATGTATATATGTGCTCCTGTGTGTGAGCATGAGCACAGATATGTGTGCAGGTGCCTGAAGTATCCAGAAGGTTTGCCATCCCCTGGCGTTGGAGTTGCAGGCAGTTGTGAGCCACCTGATGTAGGTGCCGAGAACTGAACCTGGTCCTCTGCAAGAGCAGTACATGCTCTAACCGCCACACCATTTCTTCAGCCCCAGATCTGAGATTCAGCAAATGAAAAATATTTTGTTTTTGTTTTAGGGAATTTGACAAATCTAGAATTAAGATTACCTTATTTTGAAAGTATTATTATATAGTGTCTTTATTTGTTTCCTCTAGCCACTTTTAAATATATTTTTTTTAATTTATGGCTCAGTTTTGTTCGATGAAGCACTTACTTGTGAATTTTTTATTTTTTATTTTTGTAGTGGCAAGTACTTGATATTCATAACTATGACTTAAGATGTTTTCTTTTAAAAATGATCAACTTTTATTTCTTCAAATAAATCTCATTACTGTTCCTTTTCTCCTATCATTTGGAATTTAGATCATATAATATATATATATTTAAATATTTAAAATACTTTTCTCATAAGGTGTGTACTGACAACCAAATGTATGGAATTACAGTGACACTTGTAATTCCAGCACTTGGGAAGGCTGAAGCAGGATTGTTGCAAGTTTGAAGCTATCTTGATGGGGCCACTAAGTGAGTTTTAGACTTCACTGGGCTATAGTGAGACCCTTTGTCAGCCCCCTTCTTTGTCCCCAGATAGAAACTTTCCTTTATAGTTTTTCTAATTCTCTTATAATTTTTTCCTTAGGTTTCAATATTTCTATAATTTATTTTGTAAAGTAATGAGTTATTTCCTTCTATATGAATACCCACTTCATACACTTTCATACCAAATCTTTAAAATAACCCTGCTGACATTATTTTTGTCATTCTTACAGATTACTATTTAGGGAGTTTAATTACCTTGCTGAAATTCACATAATTGCCAAACAACCAGACCTAACATTTCAACCAACAAGCATTTAATTGGTTGACTGTTCCTTGCTGTTGATTGTGTGAAGGATGCTTTTTCTTATTTTTATTCTTCTCATTTAATTTTTGGAGAATAGTTGCCATTCAAAATGGTATGTGTATTGATGAGTTGTATTAGCCTATCTTAAATTAGCCTTCTGTCATTAATTAGATAAACAAAGGCATAAAGTTATGAGGCAAATATCTCCTCCTTTAAGGAATTTATTTTCTACAAGAAAAGAAAAAAATGTATAGTTTATTTTAGAGACTTTGAAAAGATAGTATCCATGGATAGAAACAAATAGTAAGGTAATATCTCAGATGATGGAATAAAGAAAGAATTCATGAAGTGGGCAGAATTGTTCCAAGATGAGATAGGCATGTGGAAATTTATGTGTTCGGAGGAAGTATTATCATAGTTTGCTTGTTAATTCAAAGGAAGTGCCAATATTCTTATGTTTCCTCTAACATCTCTTTTTATGTAGTCTACTTATTAGTTTGTCATGTATAAAGTGAAATTATGCATTAGTGATAGAAAGTCTTTTTTCTTCCAGGTTATTTCATTTCTGGCTGCAGTTTTGCATAAAAAGGGAACTCGTGAAGATATTGAAAATAACATGCCAGAGTTCTTACTAAAAAGCATGAAAAAGGAACCCTCTTCTACAGCCCAAAAGGTGAAATATCTAGAAGTATTCAGCTTATAAAGTTGACATTGCAAATACAGAAGCATTTAAACACAACATAATGTATTATACATTTTCAAACAAGAATGTAGACATTAAACTATTTATTTTAGAAGACTATTTTTGGAAGGCTGCCATTTTCATCTGATAGTTGCATCAGGTTATATCTCAGTCTTTCCCATCCCCGTACTAATCAGGCCTGACTCTGCTGAGATCAGACACGATTGGGCATGTTCAGGGTGGAGTGACTGTAGACAACGTAAGAGATTTGTAATAAAACAAAATTCCTAGAAGTGTTATGCTTATAGTCTTTGTGTGTATGCATGCTTGTGTGCGCACGTGTGTACAAGTACAAGTGTGTGTATGCTGAGGGTCAGAGGTTGATGCCTGGTGTCTTCTCTCTTCACCTTAGTTGTTGAGTCAGGGTCTCTCACTGAACCTGGAGCTTGCTGTTCCAGCTTGACTGGCTGGCCAGCAAGCCCCAGGAGCCCTCTTGTTTCTACCTTCCCAGTTCTGGGCCTACAGATGGTCACTGCCACCCAGCTTTTTTAAAACGTGGGTGCTGAGACCAACTCAGTCATCGCTTCAGCCCTCTTGTGTGCTTTTATGTTTTCCTCAGTGTTTAGACCATTGGTAGGAATAAAGATGGAATGCTTGATGAAAAAAATTACTATTCTATTAAGGTGCAGGGTCCTCCCAGCAGGTAGAGCGGGGGAAGGGTCTCTTCTCTGGGCTAAGCCCCAGTATACATTGCTTTCATTGGATCTCTTAGCTGAAATTTTATTAATTTGTGTGGTCTTGTATTCAGATAAATTCCATTAATGTGTAAATGTCCCTTTGAGCACGACTTTATCCAGTTCCATTTGACAAGTAGTAGTGTTTTCATTATTCTTCTCTAAATTGTCTGTGACGCCAATTTTGCTCTCTTTACCCAAGTACTACTTAAAAGAGAAGTCTTAAAATTTCCAGATAAATATAGTATTTGGTAGAGTGATGGAAGATCTTAGTTCTGTGTGTTTTTCTTACAGGATAATATAACCATAATGTTTCCTTTGTAAAGTATTTTAAATGTTTTGATGTTGTATTTTGTGTAGTCTATTGTTTGGAAATACCCACTTGTTTCTTGTATTCTTTGCTATTATGGCCACATAGTTGTGTGTTTTCTGTTTAACCTAGCTTGATTGCCTTTTTAAAAGCCTTAATCCCACAGTTGAGGCAAATTAGGAAGACAGGGATCCTCTTGACTGCTGAGTGTCAAGAATTCCAGCACAATTAGCAGATTTGCTGAGAGATTTCCCTGTATCTAAACAACAGAGCCATTTCAAGTGGAATACTAAGGGAAGGGATTTTGTAAACCTGCAAGTTTTTGAGATGCTCCCTAGACTGTGAACTTTGTTTATGAGAAAAGCCTATGTTTTCACTACCTAGTGACCAAATATAATAAGGATTCCTTCAACATTTGTCACCTGTAAACCTGCCCAGTGTACCTCAGGAAACAACCCACCTACTGAAAAATGATACTGAGGGAAGGGCATTAGAAACTATTTAACAAAGGAACCTCATAGCCATCAAAAGTATTTATATGGCTACTGCTAAAAGACTTAAGCTTAGGTCTCTTGACAAGCTCATGTCTGTCTGTGGATATGGACTATCCTTTTCCTGAAGTTCTTTTTCTATGTCAAAATCATGCTTTAATCTAAGCTAAAATCTTTTCTTAATAAAGTCCAACTCTGTTTTATATTTTCTCATCCTGAAACTTTCCTGCAGTGTAGTCAAGAATCCTGACTTCTCTTGAACGACAGTCTCCAAAAAGGAACTCAGGCTTGGACCAGCTGTGTCTTCTGATTCAAATATGATTTTCCTGTTTATTTGAACAACTGAGTTCTGAGAAATCTGTATTAAATTTTCTGTAATGACTGAGGTTGTTGTTGATCTTGTGTTTGTATTGGCTTTCATTAATCTCTTTAACGTTGGTTTCATAAATTTTGCTTGTATATTGGTTATATATTCAGTTTACAGCTTATTTGCTAATTTCTGAGGTCAGAATTTATCTTATAACTTGACCTAAATAATTTTGTTATCTATTGTCAATTGGTTATTTTAGATAATGGTTCAATGCTGAACTGATTTTCCCCCCATTGAAGGAAATTTCTTTTTGTTCAAGTACGTAGGATTCCATCTTTGAAATCCCAAAACAAAGTCCTAATAGTTACTGTAGAATTCTTTCAAATAAGTTCACTTTTGAAAAATGTGTCCAGGGGTTAGAGAGATGGCTCAGCGGTTATGAACATCTACTACTGTTGCAGAGGACCAGCATGTGGTTCCTAGCATCCACAATTCACAACCATTTTTAACTCCAGCTCTAGGAAATCATATGCTTCTGGTCTCTGCAGGTTCCTGCATGCATGTGATGCCCATATGTGCATATGTACACACACATTAAATTAGTAAATACATATTTTTGGTATTTAATATTTATTATTTTTTATAAACAAAGTTTTTTTTTGCTGAAGTCATTATGCATTTTTTTAGTAAATACATATTTTTAAAAATTGGTGTAAGTGTTTTTTGTAGGGGAAGCTAAGTAATGATTCCACAGTAAGCGTTTTGACAAAGACTAATACCACCGATCTTTCTTAAAGGGTCTTACTTTTATTGGCCTGGTCCTTCCAAGTGCTTCAGTTTGTCTGTTGGCTTCTGTTGTTGTTTTATGGCTGTTTACTTGATAATTTCTCTTTCATGGCCTTGTCAGTTCTGCAAGGGGTGGGGAGTGTGTACCCATTGCTATCTTCCTGAACTATTCTGCTCTGCTGGGAGTTCCCTTCCAGGCATCATAGTACTATTACAGATTGTTTTTATATTTGTTCCTCATTTTGCTGGCATCAGAACATACATGTTTTTGGAGAGTTCGTTTGAAGTAGAATACATTTTTAAGAGATGTTTTGTCAAAAAGAGAATACATAAAATAAAAGTTAATGCCTGAATTAAAGAAACCCTGAAAGACTGATCTTCAATCTCCTTGAAAAAGAAGCATTTAGTGAATTAAATGTTACAAATTAAGGAGTAGTATTTTGAACTAGGAATGCATGTATGTGAAAGAGAGATACTATTTTATATATATTCCAAAACTTGTCAGGTATGAATACAACTTTGAGGAATGCATGAAATATAAGTGCCAATGAATTCCTAAAGGAAAAGACACAAATCATGCTTTTCAAGTGCTGATTCTTGGAATGAGTCATTAGATTTAGGATAAGTTTATGCTGTAGATTGGTCTTTATGAAATAAATCATAGTAAGTTAATTAAAATCATTACCTTGTAAGATCAAACTTTGGCGACTCTAAGAAAAAATTATAACAGAAGGGAGGGTGCTAGGGAGTCAGCTCAGTGGGTAGAGTGCTTGCTGCGTTGGTGACATGAGTTTGGGCCCCCAGAACCTGTGTAAAAAGTGGGTTGGCAGTTCACATCTGTGTCAGTGCTGGGAACAGAGGACAGGCAGGTCCCAGGGCTTGCCTACCAGCCAGCTCAGCCAAAATAGCAAGTTCCAGGTTCAGTGAGAGAGGTGGAGAACCAGAGAGGAAGACCTTCAAAGTCAACCTTTGCCTTGTACATATGTACACATACATGTGCACCACACAGAAAGAAAATTAAAATTGAAAAATGAGAGGAAGAATTTCCTAGCAATTACAATACCAGTGTTGTGTTAGAAATGGTGATATTGAGCAAAAGTACTTTTCAGCTATCTTGCTTACCATTTACCACCTTTTTAAGCTCTCGTTATATGGATGAAACAATTGGAAAGTTTCTGTTTCCTTTTTGTTACTGTGATAAAACACTCTGGTCAGATACAGCTTGAGGGGTTGTATTAGGCTCACACTTGCAGGTCAGACATAGTCTGTTATTGAAGGACCTCACAGTGGGAACCTGGAGGCAGGAACCAAGGGGGAGTACTGCTTGCTGGCTCATTCTCTCTCTTTTCCTCTCAGGTTCATGCTTAGCTCCCTTTCTTATACAACCCAGGAGAGCTTGCCTAAGGATGGTACAGCCCACAGTAGGTTAGGATCTTCCACATCAGTTAAAAATAAAGACAGCTCCTCACAGGCCAATTTGATCAAGAAAATTCCTCACTTGAAACTTCTCTTCTCAAGTGAGTCTAGGCTATATCAGATTGACAATCAAGACTAACCAGAACATACACGCCAGAACAGAAAAATAAGGAGCCAAGCAGTTTTAAGAAGAATCAGTCACAGGAGGCTGCATTGCAAATGCACCCTTATGTATATATCTCACCAACTTTTTGTAGCTAGTAAGTGTAGATTAAATTCCTAGCACTGTGGTTGTAAGGGTAGGAACTACTTGAATTGTGGAAAACTACTGAGTGCCCAGATGGAGTTCGTACGCAGGATTCTCATCCTGTAATACACAAAATTCAAAGAGTGACATCACAGTTGGACTTAGTAATTTGAGTTTTGACTTTGTTTTTGAAAACAGAAAACTTAATTTGTAAGGTAAACTAAAATAGCAAAAGGCATTTGAAGTGAAGCAAGCAAGAAAAGGGTAGGGGTAGGGTGGGGTGAGGAACTCCCTTCAGTTAAACTCTTGTTTCCTGCCTTCTCTTTATGAGCACAGTCATATAAATTTTGTTTCTTACAGGTCATAAGTGACCTGGATGAAACTTGACACAGATCCTTACATTTTACAGTATGTGTTACTGGTTAATCTCTTGGGAGTGAGGCAGGTATAAACCTTTAGGAAAGTTTACCAATAATACCCTGATATATAGCAAGCTAGGAGTATTGGTCATAGGGAAGATATTCAGGGCTATCAAGAAAAGTGGAACCTCCAAGCACCACTGTGAAAAACAGGTATGTTAGCAATCTTAACAGACTACTTTGGTTGAAAGCTGAATCAATCAGCTCTCTTTCACTCGGACAAATTATCTGAGATGAGTAACTTAAAAGGAGAGATTTATTTTGGCTCTTAGCTTTAGAGGTTTTAGTGCATGATTAGTTGTCATGTTGCTCTTCAGCCTGTGGCAAGGCTCATCATGATATGAATACACGGAAGAGGAAACTGCTCACTTCATGGAGGCCAGAGTGAAAAGAGAGAAGACATGTTTTCCAAGGGCATGACCCTGCCGGGTGTTGGTGGCGCACGCCTTTAATCCCAGCACTTGGGAGGCAGAGGCAGGTGGATCTCTGTGAGTTCGAGACCAGCCTGGTCTACAAAGTGAGTTCCAGGACAGCCTCCAAAGCCACAGAGAAACCCTGTCTCAAAAAAATAAAAAATAAAAAATCCAAGGGCGTGACCCAGTAGTTTAATTCCTTTACACAAGGTTCTGTCTCTTTAAAGTCCCACCATCTCCCCGGGAATCAAGCTTTACCACACATGCCTTTGGGGAACACTTCATATCCAGACTATAGCTTATTTCCAGATATAGAAGAAATTCTGTTTTAGGAATTCAGTAGAGAACAGGGGATAGAGGAATGAGTATTGATAGGTCCTAAGACCATTGCTGTAAAATAAGGGACTAGTAGCCAAAGATGTACAATGAAGAAAACCTGTTCTGTTTTGTTTCATTTTTATTTTATTTTATCTTTTAACCCTGGGAAATATACTCCTGGATAAAAGTGGTTTGTTATTATGATAAAGCTGGCACGTGGGGAAGACTGGGGCCAGTTTTGCCATGTTGGTTCTAGATTGGCAGGAGAGATAAATGCGAGCCACTGAATGTAATCAAACGTTGTTTTGAAGAACATAATCAGTTAATCTGTGGTCAGAGGTGGGAAGGCAGGGTGTGTGGAAATAAATACAGGTAAAGTTACTGATAGAAACCTACACAAATATTCTTCTGTACTTGCTTCAGTTTTCCAGTGAGTTTCTCTTGCCTTCAACAGAGAGAATCTGAGAAAATGGAGTAGGAAGGAGAGGTGAACAGAGCCCCAGAAGACTGTGTTCAGAGCAAGATGCTACCCATTTGTTTTGAATATTAACTCTTTAATTTATTGTTGGGATCCTGATTTTATTCTCTCTCTCTCTCTTTCTCTCAAAGAGTTACCTTTCTCTTCTTCAGTGCCTTTAAGAATAGAAATGAAAATAACCATTCCCGATAGTGGGTTATCTTTTTGTTGTTGTTGTTGTTGTTCTAACAAAAAGGTAATTAAACAAAGAGTATTTTTTGAGGATTTTTTTGTTCACATTTAGCAAACCAGTCAGTTGTATTAATCACTTACTTATAGCATCAAAATCAAAGAGTGGGACTGTTGATACTGTGTATTTCATGTTGGAGTTCTTATTAAAAACATGGATGCCCTCCTTTCTGTTTTTAGATGTTCTTAATAGTTGCTCCTCTTTCTGTCCTCTACAACTGGAAGGATGAATTGGATACCTGGGGATATTTCAGAGTCACTGTTTTACATGGTAGCAAAAAGGACAATGGACTACTTCGTTTAAAGCAAAGGAAATGTGAAATTGCTCTGACAACCTATGAAACTCTGCGCTTGTGTCTGGAGGAACTCAACAGGTAAAATCATGAGAGTGATGCTGACGTTAGTCATCTGCATCCTATATGTCATGATGCAAAACTCAAACTCCTTTAGCTTGACTTCATGTCTGGGTTATAAAGCAGAGGTTGCAATAGCTGCCTCCATCTGGAAAGGTGTCCTACTACTGTGAGTTCGAGGCCGGGCTGGACCGATAGCCTCCAAAACAATACAGAGAAACCCTGTCTCGTAAAAACCAAAAAAAAAAAAAAAAAGAGGTTTGTTCTGAACTAATTTGTGTCAAAATTTCCAAATTCATGTCCCAGCCTTAGAATATAATCACGTTTAAAGATGTGGTTAAGAAAAAAATTGGGCTGTTTGGGTAGAGGCGTCCTTACTAGACAAGTACCAAGAGCATACAAATAGGGAAGGACATGTGAGTTATCTAATGTCTTTTGAATGCTAAAATATTATGGTTTCAGTCAGTTTGAATTATAGTTGGTGAAAGAAAATGGCAGGAGCCGGGCGGTGGTGGCGCACGCCTTTAATCCCAGCATGCAGAGGCAAAGGCAGGTGGATCTCTGTGAGTTTGAGGCTGGGCTGGACCGACAGCCTCCAAAACAATACAGAGAAACCCTGTCTCGTAAAACCAAAATAAATAAATAAATAAATAAATAATAAATAAAAAATAAAAAAAGAAAATGGCAGGAAACTACCTTAAAGGTGATGCTTTCAAATCAGCTAAATGCCTGGCATGAGATAATAATGAACAAAACCAACAGTTGTCTTAGAGGTTTTGAAAACACAGAATGTATTCAAGAGTAAAATGTAGCTAGATGAGGTGGTGCGTACCTGTGATCTCACCTACTGTGGAGGCTGGGGTGGGAGGATCATGAATTTAAGGCTAGTGTGAGCAAATATAGTGGCGCCTGTGCTCAAAATTTCAGTAACAAAGAAGCATAGAAGCAATCACTAATTAGCTGTGTGGATTTGAGTAAATCATCTTATCTGGAAAATGACAGGATGAACTGGATCTGTTTTTGCCAAAATGGACTATTCAGATACAGGTGGAAGGTTCTATTAGAATTAACTTAATGAGGTTCAGTTTACGTACATTAACCAATACTGATTTTTAAATGTATTTAGCCTCTATTTTCACAGGTTCTCTCAGCCAACTGTAGATTACAATATTGGCTAGAAAAATGTGTTTGTAACAAACTAATGGTTTCCTTAAACAACTTGGTGTAATATTTTTACATACCACTTACATTGTGGAAGGTATTGCATATTAACTGGAGATTATTTGAAGAACACAGGATGGCATAGGTTATACACAGACACTGTCATTTTATGTCAGACACTTGAACATCCACTTATTTTGTTTCCTGAACCAATTCACAGATAGTAAGGGGCACCTTATATAACTCAGTGAATACTGATCTGGCATTGTTAAATTCTTCTGTAAATATTTTGAGGTCATCCATAGTTTCTGTGGAATATTCTTTTTTTTTTTCAGCTCATTAAAATATAAAACTATTGACTGTGTAAAACTATGCACAATCTGGGTGTGATACCTGGTTTTGAACAATGAATACTTGAGCTCAACTCCCATCTCAAGTAAGGGAGAAACCTTCCAGCTGTCCTCTTTACAGCTAACCTTTCTTTGTTCTTACCATGAACACTCACCTTGATTTCTACCACGACAGAATGCTTCAAGCTGTTCCAGAGAATCCTATTAATACAATTTGGCTGAAAGTTTCCTCATTCCTGCCTGGCCTCTTTGCGCAATATGGTTTTTTTTTTTTTTTTTGGTTTTTACGAGACAGGGTTTCTCCGTTTTGGAGGCTGTCGGTCCAGCCTGGCCTCGAACTCACAGAGATCCGCCTGCCTCTGCCTCCCGAGTGCTGCTGGGATTAAAGGCGTGCGCCAGCAACGCCCAGTGCCCAATATGTTTTTGAGATTCATCTGAACTATTTAGTAAATCAGTGATTATTTTTTTTAAATGTCGAATGTATTCTATCTCACCAATATGTTCCTCTTTTTCTTACCCATTCATTTGAAAATAGTTATTTGATTTTGTTTCCTGTTTTGTCATTATCATAAATAAAATTTCAAGGAATATATTTATGGAAGCCCCTTTTTGCATGCTTTTATTTGTACTGGGTAAATAAATAAGAGTGGAGTTTGTGGGTTTTAGAAGTGCAGGAGTAAATAGAAGAAACTGCCAACCCATTTTCCACAGTGACTTTGCCATTTTACTTTAACTGGATTGTATTAAGGTTGAATAGCTTTATAATTTTACCAATATTGGCATTGTCAGTCTTTTTCTTTTCATTTTAGTGTGCATGTAGTATATGGCATTGTGATAGGAATTGTATTTTTCTAATGCATGTACACCTGAAAAGTGGCTGCTAGGTATAGTATTCTATAAAAGTCCAGTTTATTTGTGTAGTTTTGAGTGTTCCAGTCTTTGCTGATTTTCCTTGGGGTTAGTTTATATTTTCTGAGATGAGATTTTAAATCATAGATTTATTTATATCTCCTTAGTTCTGTAGCTTTAAGTCATACATTTTTAGGTTCACATGCGTTTTCAAATTTTACTTTTTCCTGATGGGTTAATTTTTAATTGCCTCTTATTTTTATATTTCTTATCTCATCTCGTTTTATCTAATACTAAAAAAACTGTTAACCGTCTTCTTATGCCTACTGCTTATTATAGTTTTTTCTCTTTTTATTGCAACATTTTCTTTATTTTGCAGTAACTCCCTTTACAAGTAGAATGTAATTGAACTTTGATTTTTTTTCTTTTTGGTCACTTTGCCTTTGTGGGTATTTAGACCGTTCATATTTAATGCAGTATTGGTAAAGTTGGATTTTACAGGCTTTGGATATGATTTTTTTTTACCCCATGCTGTTTGTATTTTACTTCTTCGTGGATTTTGGCATAAGGCACTAATCTTCGTTATGGAGAGGATATTAAGTAATTTGTCTAGGCTTGCACAATTAAGTCAGTGATGAACACGGGGTTTTAATACTGATCGTCTATCTGTTTTAACTCTAGACTTCAGAGTTCTAGCCAGCATTACCTCAAAAGATGTTGTGCAGTTAGATAAATGTAATAATTTCACTTATTACAACAAGTTAGAGTGTGTTCCTTGACATAGATTTCTATTTAACTTCTGTGCTTCAGTATTTATTGCATTTTAACATATATTTGCTAAAGAAATGTATAATTGATTATTTTATGTGACATAAGTATTAAGAATACCAAGAATTATATAACTGTAAACCATATATTTATAAAAGTAGGGAAATGATGACATTGCTTTTGTTGTTATTACTTGTATTGGTTCAAATGTCTTTGTTTTGGTACATATTAAATATTCTATGTGTACGCTGAGTGAGTACTATTTTGTGAGTGTGGTGTTCTGTATGTTTATAATAAACAATCAGCAGAGTAGACAAATTCATGGTATACTATGGTTAAACAATATTTAATTATTGCTGTTATATGTTTTACTTTATGAAATGTTGGCAAATTTATATATGTCTAAAGAATCAAATAAGGCTTGTAGGGGAAATTGCATTTCTTTGTACACTCCCTTCTAACAGGTACCTTCAGCTGTTACTGACACTAGTTAGTCAGTCTGTCTCTGTCTCTGTCTCTCCCTCCCTTCATTTCCTCTTCACCCTTACCCCAACCCTCTTTGTTCTGTTTGGTTTGATTTTGAGACAGTCTCATCTAGCCCAGGATGGCGAGACTTTTCTGTGTATCTCAGGCTGGCCTTGAATTCTTGATTCTCCCAACTCTTTCTTTCTGAATACTGGGATTATAAACATGTGTAACCCATGTCTTACTTTAATATCCATATTTCTAACAACAGTTGTGCTACAATTTTTAATGATTTTTATGTGTCAACTGTCGTTTTTTTAAGGGGAAATTAAGATTTTGCTGTACTTTGCCTTTTATAGCCTTACGTGAGAATATCATACCTATATTGTAGAGTTGGAATTGTACTTGTGAGGTTCAAACGTTTCTTGAACAACTTGGGTATTTATGTGGCTCCAGTTTATGAGTCACCCAGTACCCCAGCTCCTGGTTCCTAAGAACTACACATATGCATTAGAGTGCTCCCTGGCCTCCAGACTGTTTTTCTTTGCTTCTGTAAGTCATCTTGTCCATTTTTCATTTCTTCCTTTCTGTGTTCTTGAGAGGTTCTATCTTTTTGTACTTTTGCCTTAAGAAATCTGTAGAAAAGTTGGACAAATATGTATGTATGGGTGTCTATCTACTCAACAGTTATAGCCAACATATCATTTTGTGTGTATATGTATGCTTGTGTGCTCTCTTGTGTATGTGCAAGCATGTGTGTAAGTTATTGGCTGTTCAGTTCTTTATTAGACCAATCAGACGTTTTAGGCAGGCAAAGTAACACAGCTTTACAAAGTTAAATAAATGTAACATCAAAGGATGCAACATGTCTTTGCATTAATAAAAGTAGCAGGAACAAATGTAACATGCTTTCACACAGTTAAACTAATTTTCTACAACACTTTATATGTCATTATCCTTGTCATATGGGTAGGTAACTTGATAAAGTGCTTGATGTGAAGCATAAGGATCTGAGTTTGATTCCCTAGTTCCTACTGGGCATGGTGTCACACACTTGTAGTTGTATAGATCGGTGGATCCCTGGAGCTTACTGACCAGCTAGCCTAGCTGAATTGGTCAGCTCCAGACTAGTGAGAGATCCTGTCTCAAAAAAAACAAACAAACAAACAAACAAACAAACAAAAAAACCAAGGTGGACAATACCAGAGGTTGACCTCTGTCTTTCACATACATACACACACATATGTACACATACAGGTACATACATGCATACATTCACAAAAGAAGATAATAAAAAATTAAAGAATAAGGCAAATATCTTTAAGATATTATCAGTAGCTAATTTCTGTAAAGTAGGATGCAGTAAAGGTTTGGGTGGTGGCTTTGGTTATTAATTCCTCACTTGATATAGACTGATTCCCTCTATTGTTTTTATCTCAGTAAATTGAGCCTGACCTAAAGCTTTGTTAGATGCAGGTTGACATTGTTGGCAAGGATGCTTTATGGTATTGTTGTGGACTATCATATTTGTCACTTTAGAGTATGCCATGGTGTTCACTGTTAATGACACTAAGTTTACCTATAGGATAAGAGGGGAAGCATGTAAAATTTATCCCTGCTTGAACCCATTTATCTTATTGGGTCTTATACCATAATGTGTTTTCTTAGTATCATTTCTTTTATATTATTAATGGTATTCTTCTATAAAGAAAAGTTTCCTTGATTAGGAATTGAATACAATTTTAATTTAAATCAAGGTCAATGAATGCCCGATTGTATTGGAAGTTAAACTAACAAGTAAGTCTATAATGATGGCAGTTTGTCCTTTTTTGTTTTCTGAGTTACAGACATTCATATATGCAATCTGTTGTGTGTTTTCAGATAGTTCAAGGTATTTGTCCATCGTCTGAATAGTTGTAGTACCATGTAGTCTATCCAGTTATAGTTTGCCGATGTTTTCTCTCGGTATGTGCCTTTCATTTTCTTAAGGATGTCTTCAGAAGGGCAAAAGTTTGTAACTCTGAGAACATCCAGTTTATCACAAGAACTTTTGAGAAGTTTGTATCTGACTTAGAATCAGGAAGATTGGTCTGTTTCATAAATTCTATTATTTTTCCTCATATTTAGATTTATAATCTATCTTAAGTTCATTTTTGTGTATGGTGTCTGATTTTTTTCTTTTGAACTCCTGGATATTTATTCAAAATTTTACACCCAGTTGTAATTGTTTTTTGTTGTTGTTTTTATTTTTTTTTAATTTTTTGGTTTGTTTTTATTTTCATTTTTGTTTTTATTTATTTATTTTTTTGAAGCTGTGTTTCTCTGTGTAGCTCTGGCTGTCCTGAAACACACTCTATAGTCAGGCTGGCCTCAAACTTCAAGATCTGCCTGCTTTCTGAGTGCTGGGACTAAAGGTGTGTGTCACCACTGCCTGGCGTAACAGTTATCTTCATGCCCCAATATTCTAATTAGACTGGTTTCTGGACGTTTATCCTGGCTTTGGGTCTTCAGCACTTCTGCTGTGTTCCCCCACTGATCTCCCACGCTGATGGGCAGCACTTGTTCTTTTTGGTAGATTGACCATTGCAGCTGCTCATGTCTCTACTGGGGTCACAGCACTAACCTTTTTAGTAATCAGCATTCATTACGAGTTTCAGAAAAGACTGATGACTGTATCAGTGTACAGTTTGTTTCTTCTATGTATCTGTTTCTGGTTTGTTACTTAAAGGAGGAATTGTTACATAATGATATTTAAATAATAGCTATCATTCCAGCATTATCAAACATGATCTCTAACCCTGTTATAGTTTCCCATGCATTATGTCTTTTCTCATTTCTCATTTTTTCCTCTATGTTTATTTATCAGTAGTGTTCTGTGACCTAAGGTCACTTAGCCAGAAGAGAAGCAGTAGAACCATAAAAAGATGAAGGTGTTAGGCAGAAAAAAAATGCTGTCTAAATTCTTCAGACTAAGGTAAAGGCATTTACTGTTCCCCACTCCTTTTTTTTTTCTTGTAGTTTGGAATGGTCAGCTGTCATTGTAGATGAAGCTCATAGAATCAAGAATCCAAAAGCACGAGTTACAGAAGTCATGAAGGCTATAAAATGCAAGGTCCGCATTGGCCTCACTGGCACCATCCTTCAAAACAACATGAAGGAGCTGTGGTGTGTTATGGACTGGTGAGTGAAAGGCTTAGGCATTTTCTGGGTAGGTGTTTAGCTGAATGCTGCCTTGTTTTCTGATTACTAGCCCTTTGCATCACAGCTCCTCATCCAGAAAACTCATCACTTAACTGTTTACAGAAATACCCAATCCTAAGCATATCTCAGTGTAGGAAGTCCTGTGAAAAATTTTAGTGATGGGGGATGTCGTTCTGTATGCTGTGAATATGTTTCTCTTATTGGTTGATGAGTAATGCTGTTTCAGTCAGTAGACAGACAGGAAGTATAGGCAGGGCTGCCAGACTAGGAGAATGCTGGGAAGAGGAATGCCGAGAGTGAGTCAACACAGGAGACGCCATGTAGCTACCTGGAAGGTAGGACACCTGGACACTCCTCAGTAAGCCAGACCATAGGAGTATACATAAATTAATAGAAATGGGTTAATAATTAGGAGAGAGATAGCCTATAAGAAGCCTGTCCATTGACCATAAAGCTTTATTCATCACGGCATACAGAAGGACATCCTCCATCATCTTAGTCCCCAGAGAAAATAAGTGCTGAATTACCAGTCCCATCACCTTCGGTTTTAAACAGTCGCAAAGAAGGGATGCTGTTTTCCTGGCTCTTGTTTTGCTGTTATTAATAAGTAAGCCACTGAATATATTCTTTACAAGCAAAAGAATTGAATACTTTTTTAAAAGATAATTTAGTAACTTTGTTACATTTTTCTTATTGCCTTTATAAAGGGCTGTGCCAGGACTTTTAGGTAGCAAGAGCTACTTCAAGAAGCAGTTTTCTGACCCAGTGGAACATGGTCAGAGACACACAGCAACAAAAAGAGAGCTTGCTACTGGCCGAAAAGCTATGCACAGGCTTGCAAAAAAGATGTCTGACTGTTTTCTGAGGCGCACCAAGACCCTTATCAAGGGTCAGTTGCCTAAGAAAGAAGACCGGGTGAGAACTGCATTTGTTTGTTTTACTGAATTCCTCATCACAATATTTTTTTTCCCTAAAAACATTTCTTTTTAGGATTCCTTTTGCGGAATAAGTTTGTTACATGTGGGATTTCAGAAAACATCAACTGAGCTCAGTTCTATTTCTTTCCTAATTTTCCTGACCTGCTAGCTAATAGGCCTGTAATTAGTACGTGTGTCAGGTATCTTTCTATTGCCATGATATAACTGGAGATAGGTCACTGTAAAAGGAGGAAACATCTATTTTGATTTCATAGGCTTTAGTCCATGGTTCTTCAGACCTGTGACTTGTGGGAGAGCATGATGGTGAGAAGGAAAAAGATAGGGGGGTAAAGGGGTGGGCAGGAACACAATACCCGCTTCAGAGACACAGCCTCAGTGAACTAGGTTCCTTCTAAAGGCTCCATGTGCTCAAGGCCAGTGAGCTGGGTGTTGGCTTGGGGGCCTGTAGGGGGCCTTTGGGGTCCAAGCCATGACAGTGTGTATCTAATGCACATCTTAAGTCAGGCTTAGTGATGCACTCCTTTAATCCCAGCACCCAAACACAGAGGCAGATGAGTCTCTGAGTTCAGTCCCACCTGATCTACATAGTGAGTTAGTTCTAGGGCAGTGAGGTCTACACAGTAAAATGCTTTCAATAAAACAGACAAACAAAAAAACCCAGACCAGATCCTCATGTTTTATCAAGGCTTTTGATTCAGCTCTTCCTTAAGGAGTTGGGGACAGCTTCCTTTTGTAATGGTATTTTCCTTCTCACATACTACTGTTTAGTGTGCTCTGTGGCATCTTAATTCTAGTTATAGGACTAAATTGGGTTAGCCCCATTTTTCCCCTCTAGGTTGGCTTTATGTGGAATGCTGTTTGTAGTTATGCTACTGATCTAATTTTTAACTTGTAAGAAAATAATACTGTTACTGTTTAAGAAAATTGGAGTTGTCTAAGATTTTTAATTTTTTTACTAATCAGTAAATCATACCAAATGCTCAGTTTTCTTAGGGCACCTTGTAAAGATAAATTTGGGTACTGATATGGTGGTTGAGAAAATTGATGATAAGTGACTTGATAATTATCTAAAGCAAAAATTATTATGTTAGAGTACTTCATGAACCTCTGCTTTCCAAAATGTTGCATGCAGGGGTGCATGTATGTGTGTAATTTATTTAATAGGAATAATACAAACAAAATACATCAAGAGAGAAGCTGTGCCTAGAGATTTAGAACTTGGGCTCTGGCTTTCCCAGTTAAAAGGGTTTTTGTTAATGTTTTTTGTTTTTTTTCAGTTGAGCAGCTTAACTGGGGTTCTCAGACCAGTGTTGTTTGTTAGGGAACCAATAATGATAGGCACATGATTGCTCTGAAATTCATGACACATAAGAAACACTTAGTAACTGCTAGTGTTGAATACTAATATATCCTTTGTATTGTAGTCACCGACTGTCATCTATGTCCTCCTGCTCTTCTTATGTGCTTTTATATTCAAGACTGTGCAGCAAGGAGTAATTATATTCTATAGACATATTTTTTAAAATTCTAGTAGTGTTTTTAAAGGCATTCCTGTATTTTTTTGTAATACTATACCATTGTAGTTATAAAAATGCTTAAAAATAAGTGGCTGTTCCTTTGTATTCACATTCTTTATGGCCTATTATGGATAAACTTGGTTTTATGACACTGGTTTCATACTTATCTAGAAGCATTTTGCTAATTTCTAGTACTGCCTGAAGTAGAAGGGAAATTGTGTTCCTTATAACTTGGTGCAATTGTTTGTTCTTTCCTTGAATTTGGACATATAAAAGGAACTTAAGTTTGCTTTTGCATATATTTAATTCTTATCTTTACTAATTTTAGGAATTTATAGCAAGATACTAAATACAAGTAACTAAAGTAACATGAAATTTTTAATGTTTTTGCAGTTTTTCAAGTATTTCAGTAGCATTTGTTATTTATACTATTGTTCTAAAGTCTTTTGTTTTAATTTATCATAATTCATTTGCATAATAGACTGATATATTTCTAAGGAGGCCCATGATATACTGAGAAATAAATAACAAAGTCACATGGTTTGTTTTTTATCTTTTTCTTTTAAGTAAAAATGAGAATAAATTAATTATAAGGATTATTTAAAAGTGAGATGATAGTCTGTATAATATAAAATGAGGAGAGGAACAAGAATGAAAGAGAATGGGGGAGTAATCGTCATAGACATAAGCACAGGTAGTTAGTATAAGTGATTATGCTGATATCCTCATTAAATCTAGTGGGCATTGTGATGATTCTTCTCATTTCTTTAGACATTTCTAGTAACTGCTTCTCTGTTGTCTACAGATGGTGTATTGTTCTTTGACAGAGTTCCAGAAAGCTGTCTATCAAACAGTGTTAGAAACAGAGGATGTGGCTTTGATCCTTCAGTCCGCTCAGCCTTGTACCTGTGGCAGTGGCCGGAAAAGGAGAAATTGCTGTTACAAGGCAAACATTTCCATTCATCTTCACTGTTTTGGTCTGGTTTCAATGAAACCACTTTTTTTTTTCTAATTCTTTAACTTTAGAAGTTATGTTTTTAAAAAGTTGTCAAGGGACGGGGAGATGGCTTGGCGAGAAGTCCTTATGACACAAGCCTGACAGGCTGAGTTCTGATTCTCAGAACCCACACAGACAGCATGCGGTAGCGGGGTATGTGATCCCAGCACTCCTGGTTAGATGGGGTTGCAAACAGGAAAATTCCTGGCGACTTGTGGGCTAATAGGAGAGGCCCTGCTTCAAAACAAGGTGGAAGGCAGGAACTGGCTCTTAAAAGTTACCCTCTGGTCTCCACATGCATGCCATGGCACATACATGTCTGCATCACACACACACACATACACACACATACATACACACACACACACACACACGTAACCACAAGTTAATCAGAAATGCTTTATGATATCAAATCACCACATTATAAAATGCAATATTCAAATAGCAATAAAACCTAGTTTAGAAGTTGAGCTCCAGTTTGGTATCTTCTCACTTCTTGTCAGAAAATAGCATCCTTTCATCTTAAAATTCCTTTTTATTTTCACAAATGTTTCATCCACTGCTAGTAAGAATGAATCACTGCTTTGCTGATGAAGCACAACTCCTAGACACAGTGTTCATTTAATAGAGACTTGTGTTAGAAGAACAAAATGTTTTCTTAGCAGCAAAAAGTTGCTTGTTTTTCCATCTGCTATTTGTTTATTTATTTTGATTTTTGAGGCAGGGAGGGTTTCTCTGTGTAGCCCTGGCTGTCCTGGTACTCACTCTGTAGACCAGGCTAGCCTTGAACTCAGAGATCCGCCTGCCTCTGCCTCCCGAGTACTGGGATTAAAGGTGTGTGCCACCACTGCCCAGCTTTTTAACAATTTCTTCTTTATGTCACATATCTGTGATCATTACAGGGACCCAAGTATTTCTCTAGATTGCTTTTTATTCCATCTAATCAGTTTTGCTCTTTTCAATCATTCCCATTTTTGTAATGCCACATATTTTTAGAAAACTTTCTAGCTTTGTTATCCAATTTCGGAGGTCATACCCTGTTCTCCAAGTCAATCCAATTAAAGGAGAGAAATTAAAAGTGGAAAGGAGAAAAAGGAGATTTATTATGCACAGCTACATTGGGAAGAAGGGCATATATCCAGAAAAAATCCCTCAAGTCCATCTGCCCATTCTAGAAGTGAGACCAGCATTTAAATAGAGGCCAAGGAGGTACACATCCAAGCAGTGCCAGTCAAGGTGTGGTCCTGCCCACCACTGTCCCATCAGTGTCTGGACTTCAGTCTATAAGGTGATTTTACAAGTTGTTAGAACTTCATGAAATCTTTCTAGAAGACAACTTGCCTCTCTGGCTGGTGTCTTTTCCTCCTCCCAGCGTGAGATTCCTGGGGAACTCCTGTTTTCTTGGGCTCCATTGTTTCTGATAGTCAGATTGAGAGACAAGTGTCTCTTTAGAGTGTCTTCAGTTCTGCTGAGCTTGGCATAAGCAGAGAGTAAAATACTCTTCATTGTAGTGTGACTACATCATTGTGTTGCTACCAGGACTGTCTTAATGGCAGCCTTCCTATCACTGTTCTATTCCAGAATGGAGACTCCTCTTTTGCTAAATAAATGTTGCTATATTATGATTCATGAAAAGTGATTCTAGGTCTGTGATTCACGATTATTCTACCAAGCAGTTGGCCTTCACTGTCTTAGAGAATTAGACAATAAGTATTAGTGTTGTGTTTTATTATTAGTTATTTAACTATATTATTAATGCTTTTCTTGTTTGTGTTTTCTGTTGTTTCCATTACAGACTAATTCACGGGGTGACAAAGTGAGAACTTTGTGTCTTAGTTACCTGACAGTGCTACAGAAAGTAGCTAACCACGTTGCACTGCTGCAGACTGCCAGCACCTCAAAGTACCAGGTTGGAGTTGACTTTACATCTCTCTGTAATGCTTTTGATATAAAACTTATACTGTATAGTGTTGGCACAAAAACTGTTTCTCTCATCTTGAAGGGAGTAAAGAGATACTTTATTCTGGAGCCATTTTAGGGACCAGAGCCTGGAAAGAGAAGTATACTTTATCCCAAATTCCACATTTAACATGGAAGTGGTTTGTGAAACTTTATTGAATAAAGAAAATCAGAAATTGAGACAAGTTTTAATATATTATTAGTGATACATCAGAGAGATGGGTACAGCAGGATGAAGGAAGCTTTTTTATAGGTCCAGAATGCTATCTGATGACATTCTTAGTTTTTGGATTGGTAGAAACTAGGATTCTGAATTATTTATCTCTTAGTCACAGAATGTTAGGTCTGACACATAGGTAGGCAAGGAATGGCTATGAGAGGGTGGGACTAAAAACTCTGTCTAAGATAAGATAATTAAGTTCTGAAGCTGTGACATTCCAATCTATCCACAGTATTGCAGCTCTAATCAGTCAGTCCCTGCAGACATAGTGCTTTCCAGGATTTCTCCTTCACAGTATCTTAGCTAAATACTCTTAAGTGTGTTTTAGGTAAACTTGAAGAGGAATGTAACTTGCTTACTTTAAGATTTAATAATTGAATAACAGAACCTGCTTAGCATGTGCAATGCACTGAGCTCAATTTGCAGCATCAATACTGATACATTTTTAAAGTGACATTTATGTATCAAGGAACATGTGCATGTAAATTTTAACCAGGGTGAAAAAGCTTGATCTTAAAGAAATAGCTGTTTAATGTGTCTAGTAGTGTTTATATGTTTGCCTTTAATCCCAGCACTCGGGAGTTCAAGGCCAGCCTGGTCTACAATGCAAGTTCCAGGACAGCCAGGGTTACACAGAGAAACCCTGTCTTGAAAAACAATAAACCAAAAACCAAAAAAACTTACTTTGTTGATAAATCAATTCCATGCAATAAGTTGCATCAAAATATTTGCTAATATGTTTAATTATGTTTATCTTATATGCTGAGTAAGTAGATACATGATAATCTGCATATTAAATATTTAGGCTGTTTCCCAAACTGTCAAAAACCAGTCCTCTCTAAGCTGAGGGTTAAATAAAAGCACTTGCAGAGTAAGACAGTGCAGTTGAGCCAGGCGGTGGTGTCGCACGCCTTTATTCCCAGCACTTGGGAGGCAGAGGCAGGCAGATCTCTGTGAGTTCGAGACCGTGCTGGACCGACAGACAGCCTCCAAAACAATATAAGAATTTTTTCTTTTTTTTTGTGCTGTAGCTGGTGCTGTTTAAACTGATTTTGAAATCCATTAAGAATTTGATACAGAGCCGGGTTGTGGTGGCCCATGCCTTTAATCCCAGCACTCGGGAGGCAGAGGCAGGTGGATCTCTGTAATTCAAGACAAGCCTGGTCTACAAGAGCTAGTTCTAGGACAGCCTCCAAAGCCACAGGAAAAAAAAAAGAATTTGATACAGTAATCTTTGATTGTTATTATTCACTCTTTTGGGAATGTTTGTTTACTTGTTTTGGAAATCTTGAGAAAGTAATGATACAGTATCCACATCCATAGTGTCAAGAACTCATCAAAACCATACATATTTAACATTATTTGGACTTACAGAAGGCAGATAACGTTTCTCATAAATATATTTTTTTATAAACAGTTTTATTTTTTGCAGGTTTAAGTGTGCATTGAAATTTCTTCTTCCTTCTCTCCAGGAAACACTTATCAAGAGGCTATGTGATCAGGTATTTTCCAGATTCCCAGATTTTGTGCAGAAAAGCAAAGATGCAGCCTTTGAAACACTTTCTGATCCCAAATATAGTGGGAAAATGAAGGTATGTGCTCTTCCTTCAATTTGCAATTCAACCAGGGATGCCGCGCTAAAGATTTGATTGATGCAGTAGTACAGCAAGGATACCAGCTAATCAGGACAGTCTCCCAAACACTGAGACGTGATGGAGATTATGACCTCTGCGTATAGATCAGTGCACACAATGGGTTCTCAGTGGCAGTTGTATCAAATATACTTCAGCCTTTTCTATTGGACTTCAGAGCACTTAAAATATATGCTCTTAACACATATGTGCAGAGACAAGGCCTCTAAATCCACACTGGATTTTCTGCCTACAACCTTTGTTTGCTGACCTGGATAGTAAAATTGCAAGGGAGTATTTGTCCTACTCCAGGAAACTGACCTATGGCTATAACAAGAATAATAAATGACCCAGAGACAGATATTAGGGTTTAACCTGAGGGTCAGAAAAGCAAAGCAGCCGGCTACTAGCTCTTACCCATACCTCAGGCTAAAAGGGCTGTCCTGTCCTCAGCTGATTGGAAGATAAATCTCTGAGATTGACTCTGCTTCTTTCTTATATACCTCTCTCCACCCAGCCATATCATTCCTGTCTCTACCTCCCTAGTGCTGGGATTAAAGGTGTGTGGTCCCAAGGGCTGAGATCACCTTTGTATGAACTGTTTCTCTTTTTAGACTGGTTCCATTTGAGTAGTTCAGTGTGCCCTGAACTAACAGAGATCAGTCTGCCTCTTCTGGAGTCCTAGGATTAAAGGTGTGTGCCACCACCACCTAGCTTCCATAGCTGACTAGTGTGGCTGGCTTTTCATTCTGACACTTGAGGCAATCTTTATTAAATCATAAATAATACATCACCACACATGTTGTTCTTGGTGTGGCATTGCTAAAGGAGGGGTGTGGATAATAAGCCTAGGTTCTGTAGCCCTGACTGATGAGGCTCCGGACGTTCCCTGCCGTGGTAGTGTGAACTGCTGACAGCCTCTGGCCTCCTGCAAGAAGGCAGGTTTGCTTGGCTCCTCAGTAGCTATCAAGAATACTCATTTATCGCCAGGCGGTGGTGGTGCACGCCTTTAATCCCAGCACTCGGGAGGCAGAGGCAGGCAGATCTCTTGTGAGTTCGAGGCCAGGCTGGACCGACAGCCTCCAAAGCAATACAGAGATACCCTGTCTCGTAAAACCAAAAAAAAAAAAAAAAAAAAATCCTCATTTATGGGTTCACAGATTTTTTTTAAAGAACAATTCTCAGCCTTATACTACAATTACACAGATGGTAAGGTATTTATTTCTTTTGGCAAAGGGAATAAAAAGGAAGTAATTCAAAGTCAATTAGTGCTTTATCTAGAAATGCTTTTAGCTGTTAATCTTGATAAGCTCAATGTAGTTTAGTTGCTTAGAACCTAGAAATTTAGTGAGACAAAGTAGGTGGAAATAGAAGTAGTAAAGAGAATTGCATTAAAAATTTATTTTTAAAAATAAATTAGTGTGTACTCTTGAGAATATAGTGATTTATTCCAACAAGTAATTAAAATATTGCAATCTGTTTTATCCATTTTATTTATTTTAAAATTTTAAGATGTAAGAGCCAAATTTATTTGGAGTTTTATTCTTAGAAATTATAGTATGTAGTTAAGATAATGATTATTTTCATCTTTATACTGATTTTGGTTGTTGGAAGCTCGTTAGACATCTTGGTTTGAATGGAAAGCAGTTGATTTGCAGCTTTTTACTGATTGCTCGTCAAACAGATCTTGACAGTGATAAGCTGGAGATATGTACTGTTAGGACTGTTTGTTTCTTATCATGTACTTAGCAGCATCACCCATAACATGCTGGTTTGTGATATATAGGCTTGTCATAGAATTATTGACCGTGAGGTTAAGACCTTCAAGTCATTGAGTTGCATATCATTTGTGAATTCAGACATGTGAATTCCTTGAAGAAATATCACATATGCACTTGAGAAAGGCCAAGGAGCCCAGCTCAGTGCTCTGAGACCAAAGGGCACCATGTTCATCTTTCTAGGCCAGTCTGACTAATGTAAGAACTTATATCCAAACATTTCTTTGCTGTGAATACTCTCAGATTCACAGGTAGATTGACCTATTCTGTGGGGGTCAAGTAAGCACCTGCATTATTAGAGCTTCAGCGTATTTTGATGATACTGTCCTTTTTGAATTTTTGGTAAAAGCCCTTAATTTATGCTTATTCATTTAGTGAGTTTTTCCTTATATCAGTCCAGTGATGACCTGCAGTCAGGAAAAAAAAATCACGTCTTACTACTTATTTCTGCTTTTACTTTTAAATACCCAGATTACGACAGATCTGAAGCCATGTCCAGTGGCATGAGTAGATTTCTGTTCAGAATATTTCTGGTTTAATGCATTAGCATCTTCCAAGACAAGCCACAGACCAGGATATCTTTGCAAAATGATGTAGGATTGGTATCCAAAGTATACAGAGAACTCTTAAAACTCAGTGGTGAAAATTAGGTAATCTATCTTAAAAATGGGCAAAAGATCTGAAGGGATACAAGAAGAAGGGTGGATGGCAAGGAAACACGAGGGAAGACACTGCCCAACGTTGTGCGACTGTAAAAATGAAACAAGGGTTGCCACCGCATAGCTATTAACGTAGTGAAGTCCAGACCACTTGTAAATGGATGTTTCTTCCCCGCCTGCCAGTTTCCAAATTTCACCACACAGAGGCCTATATTGATTGTAAATGCTCAGTGGATAGCTCAGGCTTATTACTAACTAGGTGTTGCATGTAAATTAACTCTTATTCCTTATTTATGCTCTGCCATGTGGAGGTACCTTTGCTAGCATGGCATATTCATACCCTGCTCCCTCTGCATCTAGCCAGAAGCTCCTCTGACTCCACCCTTCCTTTCCCATCATCCTTAGTTTGGTTACCCCGCCTTTATGTCTTGCCTGGCTACTGGTCAGTCAGCATTTTATTAAACCAATTCGAGCAACAGATCTTTACAATGTACGAGAGGGTTATCCCACAGCAGCCGGTGGCTCTCTTCCATCACAGGTGAAACTACAGAGTGAGTGCTCACTCTAGAGAACAGTTGGTGATTGAGACAAAGCTTTCACTTTGAGTAATGTTAAATGCATAACACGTAAAGTGTGCTTGATATTTAAAATAGGAAAATGAACGGCTGGAGAGATGGCTCATTGTTTAAGAACACTGACTGCTCTTCCAGAGGACCCAAACTCAATTCCCAGCACCCACATGGAGCAAACAACTGTCTGTAACTCAAGATCTGACACCTTACACAGATATGCATGCACATAAATTGAAAATAAATAAATTTGGGACTGGAGAGATGGCTCAGCAGTTAAGAACACTGACTGTTCTTCCAGAGGAACCAAGCTCAATTCCCAGCACCCACATGGCAGCTAACAACTGTCTGTAACTACAACTTTGACACCCTTACACAGACATACATGCCCTCAAGACACCAATGCAAATAAAATGAAATAAATTAAAATAGAAAAATGAAATATTCTTACTGTATTATCTATTATCCTTGTTATCTACCTAAGAGTTAGATTTAGTGAATTTTACTGTTTGCACTTATACCAACACAAGAACCCTACCTAAATTTATTCATAATTTTCAAAGCTTGAAAGCAATCAAGATGTCTTTCAAAAGGCAAATGGATAAACTGTGGTGCAGCCATAAAATGGCATAGTTTTTACAATAGCAATTGAGTGAGACATGGTGGTACATGCTCCCTTCACTCTAGATGCAGAGGCAGAGGCAGGTGGATCTACTCAAGTTCAAGGACAGTATGGTCTACATAGCAAAGAATTCCAGGCCAGCCAGGGCTACACATTGAGACCTTCTCTCTCTCTCTCTCTCTCTCAAAAAAAAAAAAAAAAAGGATTGAATACTTGGAGAACTCTTAAGTGTACATTGCTAAAGTATTGAAGCTAGTCTGGAAAAGACTACACACTGTGCTGCTCCATCTGTGTGACCCTCTGGAAAAGGAAAAACTCCAAAGACAGCAAAAAGATCGGGAGTCCTGGGGGGAAGAAAGGTGCACATGTAAAATACCAGGGACTTTTAAGCAGTAACACTATTTTATATGATGTTGTAATAAGAAACCATGTCATGATACACCCATCAGAATTCAGAACTGTAAACAAATTCTGTTCATGATGGTCCAGTATTCTGTATCATTTTCACAGATACCTCTTGAATAATAATAATAATAATAATAATAATAATAATTGCTTTATGTAGATGTTAATAGGAGGTATTTGGGGGATATATAGCTCAGAGGTAGTATTTGCCTCCCATGCACAAAGCCATGAATTAATCCCCAGTATTGCAAAAAGAGAGATGAGGGATAGTATGTGGGAGCTTTCTATACTTATACTCAGTTCTGAAAACCTAAAAAAGTGGCTTGTATCAATTAAAAGTATTAGTTTTATATAAAATCAAATACATGTCCTTCATAAAGTCAGTTATTTCATTTAAAAGTAAACTAAATGCAAATAAAACTTTATATGCTGTCAGATATTAAAATAATATTTCCCCAGGCTGTGACGTTTTTATTCACCATTTGAGTAGATTTAAAAAGGCAACCTCCATATCATGTTTTTTCAAAGACTGAGGGTAAGACTCAAATTTAGAATAAAGTTAGTAGATAAACGATTGAAAGGTTGTTATATTGGGTATAATTTTTTTCTTTAGATGTTTATCATCAAATAAATAACATTGTTTCTTTCATAGTTCAGTAATACTTGGTACAGAAAATTCCTCTCTCTGTGGATTGCCTTCCCACGGTGTGCTACCTTCCCAGATATGGGAATGTCTGCTTAAAAACACTAGGTTCTGCTATGTGCAGTCTTTGAACTGTTGCTTCCTCTCCAAAGACCTGAATATAAGGGCAGATTATTAGCACTTTGAGGTCAAAATCCAATCTGGAAGTTGGGGTTTACTTTAAGTAAACAAGAGGGAGAAAGTAAGAAGAGGTGTGTATCTTAGAGAATAAACATCAGGTCTTTCTTGATACAAACTGAGAGCATTGTATTTTGTCTGTCTAGAAAGCCATTTATTTGCTAAAATATATGCTTTGCTAATTCAGCTTCTTAACATAAAGGTATAAAAGTATATCTAGAAATTAAATTAATCCATCTAAAATGCTTCTTTTTATTAAAACCAGATGAGATGAAATGGGCTTGGGAACTGTCCTTCCTTCCTGACAACAGGATGATGAATAGCCTTTGATGTGATAAATATTGTATTTGTTAACTTGGAATAAATAAAGGAAACTAGCAGAGATGACTGAGGTTAGTGTTGTGTAGAACACTTTTTCAGGAACTCTCCAGTGCTGTCTGTATGTGTAAAGTGTGCTTGAAGTCGGCACTGGTCCCTGATGGCCTGTGTTCCTTCCCAGGTTCTCCAGCAGCTTTTAAATCACTTTCGGAAACAGAGAGATAAGGTTCTTCTCTTCTCCTTTTCCACCAAGGTGAGTTCTATCCAGAACATTCTTGCTTGGTCGGTCTGGGTCTCTAGGCACTGAGCACAAGGAAGTAGAGATTACTGTCATGTTCTCCTCATCCGCACAGCAAAATTGTGTTGAAGAAAGCAATTCAGACCTTTCCAGCACGCTCAGTTATGTGTGGAGCTTAGATAGGGTGCTACCATCCTATCAAACTCAAAGATAAAGTAGTATTTTCTGCTGATTTTCTTTTGAGAGAGTTAGGATATTTTAAAGTTTAGAAAATGACATGTTTACATAAATTATTTGACCAATGGTTATATATATATATTTGGTTTCAGTCTATTTCAGCATAATGGAAAGAAATGTATAGATTAAAAGTGAGAAAAGTTTATTTTTTTGGTGCTGGAAATAGAGCCTGGGCCTGGTGTTTATGAGGAAATCACTCTCCTACCTTTGCACCCAGGACCCCCATATCAATTGCTCATTAGTTGAAGACAGAAATTGTGTGCCCAGTGATCAGTGCTCACCAGATGTAGCCTCAGTGATTGGACAAAGCCTGTGACTGAAGACTTTGTGTCTTCCCTACTTCCCTCCAGCTGCTTGATGTGCTGCAGCAATACTGTATGGCTTCTGGCCTCGATTTCCGGCGACTTGATGGAAGCACAAAATCAGAGGAAAGACTCAAGATTGTGAAAGAGTTCAACAGTACAAAAGATGTGAACATTTGCCTTGTCTCCACGATGTAAGAAAATAAACCTTGATAGCTTGATTTCTATCTGGTTGTTTTTAAAACTATTTTGGGATTAATTTTCAACAAGTAGGCTTATGTTGCTTTGTTTTATTTGACTTTAAGAAGCAGTAAAAAACACTATCATTTGTAGTTAGAATAGCAGTATCTTGAATTTTACCTAATCTTTTATTACCGTATCATTCTGGAATTCCTCTTGTAAGGACTGGCTTAAAAGATAAGATTGAAAACACAAACCTTGACTCCCAGGAATTCCTGGATAGTGTAAGTGTCTTAGGGTCAGTACCGTTGGACTTTTTACTCAGAGCTTGGCACTACTGCCTTCTCTGCCTTGTCCCAACTGGAGCTGTTCCTAGGATTTTACCAGGGATAAATTTGCTCTAGCACCTACTTAATGAATCTCTAATTAGAACCATGTAAAGAAAATGTACTCTATCAAAAAGATTTCAATCAGTAGAAATACCTAAGAAAGATATTTGGAAGCATAATAAATACTTTGTTTTTGGCATTCTGTGTGAGAATTTTAAGGTTTGTTCTCACCTTTTTTTTTTTTTTTGAAAAAGAGAACCAGAGGACTTTAGAAATAAAATGTGAAATGCAAAAGTAGAACACAAACTGAGTCCCGAGATGAAGAGTCAGGCTGCAGTGGTATGACTATGGCAGGAGTAGTTCTGTTGAATTCCTGCAACTTAGAAGAGGAGAGAAGCTTTTGAACTTCATTTGCTGTGGACGATGCCAAACATTTCTCATCTAAGTCCTTACATACAAAGCATCAAGTACTGCCTTCAGCTAAGTTCTGTTGCACACCTCAGCATTCTTAACTTCTGACATGTGTCAGACACACCAAACAGAGGTTCCAGCAGTGCAGAGACCTTTGTGACCACCTCAGGTCCACTTTTCTGCTAACAGCTCTGGTCTCAATCCCTACATACCTGACACATTGCATTCCTCATGTTTAAAGAAAAACCTTCATTTTTAGAATCCCTACTAGAGCTGTACAAGCCCACCTTATTTCATATGTACTTTGTTCTCCGTAATTTCTAGTCCTTTAATTCTTCAGTAATTTTAATCACCATCTGTTTTTCTATTTGCTATTGTTGGGGAAGTCTCATGCCATGGTATTCATGTGGAGGTAAAAGAACCCTTTCATAGAGTCAGTCCTTTCCTACTTTTATGTAGGATTAGAGCAGTGGTTCGAAACCTTCCTAATGCTGTGGCCCCTTAGTACAGTTCCTCATGTTGTGGCAACCCCCAACAATAAAATTATTTTTGCTGTTACTTCATAACTGTAACTTTGTTACTGTTGTGTACTGTAATGTGAATATCTATTTTGTGTGAAAAGGTCGTTCTGACCCAAAGGTGTCTCGACCAACATGTTGAAACCTCTGGCTTAGAGGATCAGACTCATGTTCCAGGGCTTATGTGGCAAGTGCCTTTACCTGCTGAGCCATCTTGCTGATCTTATTTTTTTTTAAGACTGGGGGCCTCACTCTGTAGCCCTGTCTGGCCTGATGTGGACCATGTTGATCTTGAATCTGCTTCTGCCTCCCACATGCTGGGATTAAAGACATGCACCACCACACCCAGCCCCTAAGATCTGTTTATTAGTGGTATTTTACTGTATTCAGTTTTGTACTTGGGGATGCTAATCATCAGGCTGTTTCCTCAGGCTCTTGCTTCTGGTGCATGGTTTCCTTACATATTTTATAGGTTTTCATTTTGTTCTCTTGGTGGAAATGCTTTGGAGACCAGTTGTAAACCACTTGTGTGGTTTCCCTGTGCCTTCTGTTAACTGTCCTGACCACGGCAAAAGTCATGTGTGACTGAATTCAAGAAGTAATTTTTGGCGTAAGCCATTAAATACAGAACCACACCCACCCTTTCTTTGACCTTTGCTTCCTGTTAACTACTTTGTTGGTGCTATTACTGTTTCTAACTCCTGCAGAGCTAACTAGATTAGTATCCATAGGTTAGCTTTAAAATTTGGAGATCAAAACCCAGCAACTTGCATTGTGATTTTCTGAACATTGTTTAATGTCAGATTAAGTAGAACTAAACTAACTTCTCTCTTGGTTACCTTCCAGCCAGTTCAAGGAATATAATCAAACAGTGGGCAAACTAACTCTCCGTTAGAATACTGGGTCCACTGTTCTATGTTTGCACAGTTGAGTTCACTTTGTATTTCAGTCATGACCTGTTTTTTTCTCCTCTATCAGTTTCTTCTCTTCTGCATTCTCTCTTATGTTGAGTCCTCTGTGTTATCAAGATTTTCTGCTAGCAGTCTTTGATCTCATCATCTCAAACTCAGCATGTTGTCTTTTAGACTGGTAACACTGTCATGTTAAGCCTTCTTCACTACATCATTGCGTTGGATCCTTTACCTGTATCCCATGCCATCTTCATTCTTCATTTACCCCCATTGTTATTTTTGAAAGTTTTCTCAAGTAACTTTGTAAGCCAGGATGTACGTGATGTAATTTTTTGCAGCCTTCAATTCAGAAAATGTCATTTATTTGCCTTCCCCTTTGAATTCATACTTTAGCCAACTGTAGAAATCTAGACTGGAAATGATTTCCTTTCAAGTCTTTGAAGGCCTTACAGCATTGTTGCTTGGTATTTAGTGTCATTAAATGCCACTCTGATTCTCCATCCTCTGTGGGGACGTCTGCTGAAATTTAACTGTGATATTTGAGTCACAAGACTTTGGGTCTTGGTTGTTTGTTGTGCCACATCCCGGAAACCATGTCTTCTCCACCTCCGTGAAGTGCTTTTCTCTTGTTTATTTGAAATGCCTTCTGTTTCTTGCACTTCCTTTGTGCAATGCTGTGACCCCTTAATACAGCTCCTAATATTATGGTGGTCCCTAACCATAAAGTTCTTCATTCCTACTTCATAACTGTAGTTTTGCTACTGTTATTAATCAAAATATAAATATCTGATATGTGACCTCCAAGGAGGGTTGCAATCCACAGGTTGAGAACCACTGTTTTAGATGATGTGTGCTTTGTTGGCTGGCCTTAAGATTGCTGTCCTCTCTTGCTTTCCCGGTTTTGTAGTAGAACCTCATATATTCTTTAAATCAGCTATTAAACATTTTGTACTACTTGTTCTGAGTCTGTAAGGATGTAAAATTTCAATCTTACAGATTTTATTTGAAACAACCACATTTTTAATCTAATTTTTTGTGTTTTCTAATCTCATTTTTCCTTTAAGTCTTCTCTTCCCTAGAATATCTGTACCTTAACTCTTAGATTTTCATAAATGCTCTTTAAATTTGTTTAAAGAATGCTCCACTGCCATTTTTTGTGGAATTAATTTCGTACTCATAGACGAGTACGAAATTCGCATCATCCCTCTCATCTGGGATTAGGGTTTTTGTTTGTTTGTTAATTTAAATCATTGAGTTTATAAGTGGTTTTGAAGGAAGTTGGCATCCTTATGATATTGCCCTTTCTACTCATTAGTTTTCTTGGAAGCACGTTTAGTGAATACTTCATCTGACCCTTTATTATACTTATTACATAATAATAAAATGCAGTTTGTTAATTAATATAGTTAAAGTTGATGTATTCACTTAGTACAAGAGTAGAATACGAAAGACATTCTTAGACACAAATAGCCTGCATGGTCATAACATTTCTGTCTCAAATAATAGTCCTTGGCCAGAAATGAACAATCATATTCAATTGTTTAAAGAATAAATCCTTGTTATTAGCCATGTAATACCAAAGCATAGGCTTGCAAGTAGACTTCTAAATTATATTATGTCGGAGAATCAACTCATCATTAGAAATACATGATTTTTTTTTTCTAAAAGAAGTTTTGCCTCTGCTTTAACCAGCCAGGTGTCATTTTTACTTTCAGTCCCCTAACTGCAGAGGCCTTTTGGGGGCACAGTGGGGTATCCAAGATGAATCAATGTCTGGTTCTCCTTCAAGAGCCTACCTGGAGCAGTTGAAAAGGCTTGGTAGACATAGATATGCTCAGATGCTCATGTAGCTTCTACTTGCAGTGCATCCAACTCTCTCCCATGTTTACCCTAACTGTTCCATGGTGGGATTTTATTGTTGTTGTCTTCTTTCCCAAAACTCTTTCCCTATTTAACCTTTTCCTCATAGGTTCAAGTCTCTGTAGAATTTGTGTTTGTTTGTTTTGCTTTGTTTTTCGAGATAGGGTTGCTATCCTAGAAGTAGCTCTGTAGACAGGCTGGCCTCAAACTCACAGAGACCCACTTTGCTCTGCTTCCTGAGTGCTGGAATTAAAGGGGTGGGCCACCACCACCCAGCTTCTCTGGAATCTTTTTGGTATTAGCTCTGGAGACTAATTCTAAAAAGACAGAAGTCAGTTTCTCTTGAGCACTGAAATCTAACAGGATGCTTCAGTCTGAATACAAACTTGGGCTGCTTAGGAGACCTTTTGTCCCTACCTGAAAAGTGTTTGGCTCTTAAACTTATCTTGAGAAAAGCCTGGCCTAGTGATGCACATCTTTAATCCCAGCACTTGGGAAGCAGAGGCAGGCAGATCTCTGTGAGTTCAAGGCCAGCCTGATCTACACAGTGAGTTTCATGGCAGCTATGGTTACACACTGAGACCCCTGTCAGGGGATGGGAAGTGTATCTTGAGGATTACAGATATGAAAATATCTAGCATGACTCCTTGTAGAGTCATGGACAGTTGATGTCCATTTAATTGCATGTTGTAAGGAAGAGGATTATTACCATTTTTTTTCCCCTTTGGATGATGAGCATCAGTGTGTGAATATCTGAGTGTAGGATGATGTTCCTGACACAGTGGGAAACGGGTAAATGAAAGGCTTATGAGGCAGGGTTAGGAAGACAGTGGAGGAAAGCTAAAGCAAAACTTTTCTCCTTGGACTTGAGTTTTGCTCTTCCTTTTATTTTCAATTAGTTTTTAACTGTATGAGCTTTATTATAAAAAACCTGCAAAAAATAAAATCATCACACATTAAAATTAACCACACCCAGAGTCTGTAAAACTTAGTATACTGCTATCCATTTAGACTAGGCTTTCGGAGCGGAAGCTGTGGAGCTTCACATTAAATTTTACACTTTAGGATTGAATATATTTTATGCATTTAGCCACCACCAAGACCCAGATATCCATGACAGGATTAGAGCCAGAAGAATAATTCTCTATATATGATCTCTCTTGACTCGTGCCCATCACCCATACTCGTCTTTCTTCGTCTCCTAATCTTTATGGCCTTTCATCTCTTTTCTTCATGTTGTCCACATGATTACATATATTACTGGCTAGAGTCTGGGATGAGTGAGAGAACATGTGGGGTTTTTTCTTTTATTTCTGTGATTGTGTGACCTTCCTTAATAGTACAAGTCTATTTTCATGTAAATTTCTAAACTTCATTTTTTCTTTAGAGCTGGAATATTCACTTTGTGTGTGTGTGTGTAACTGTTACTTTTAAAACATATAGAATTTATCACTGTTGTAAATTAGCTGTTAAAAAGGGAATGCAAGAAATTTCACAATATGGAAAGGTCACAACCATTGTTATGTAAGGTTTACTTATGTGAGTGTAGAATACGTATGTGTCCTGGATTGAGTTTTAAATTTATAAACCAAGATCCTGTGGGACCAGTGATTGGGTTTATTGGACAAATATTTCTGTAACTTCTACTTGTTTAAGTTATATACTAAAGTTAAAGAATATACTAAAATTATTTTAGTTCTATTTGAAAATCCTATAGAAATGGTATTTGGGTATGTAAAAATTATTAAAAACTAGCATAGCACATGGATTTCTATCAGTCTGCCTATTTAGATTCAAATGGTCAATTTGTTTAGGAATTTCCTTTGACCATGTCATAGATTGTAAAAGGGAGTTTGTAATTGGTCTGAATAATAAAAACCTGGAGTCAGATATAGAGGAAAATGCAGACAGATCAGGGAGAAGAAGGAACAAACCATAGCCTCACCTTACCTCCTTAGCATCTCAGTGTATAAGAGAGCTAGTTCCTGTTTCTTCCCCCTTTTATCCTCTCTTTACCCAGCCATCTCACTTCCTGTCTGTCTGCACAGACCTCCAGAACTCTATGGTTGGCTAGTGGCGAACTTCATTCTCTGATCTTCAGACACGCTTTATTTGTACAAGCAAGATATCACCACAATAGATATATAAGCATATTTCTGTTTAGATCATCTACTTTTATATAAAAGATGGCAATATAATATTATATTGGCAGCAGAAAGAGGGCACAGTGATTTGTTCAATTCTGGATGGTGGGGGTTGTTTGAGAAATGGTCTTAAACAGTCTAAACTGACCTAGAACTTTTGACTCCTACTTCTGCGTCCTGAGTGCTGAGATTACAATGTATACAACCATCCCTCTTAACAGTTTATGCTATTTTAATATGCTGTTTTCTTTTCTTTCCAGGGCTGGTGGACTAGGTCTCAATTTTGTTGGTGCCAATGTTGTTATATTATTTGATCCAACTTGGAATCCAGCCAATGATCTTCAAGCTATTGACAGGTATGATTCTGACAAAATGTAAATGATCTGTGAATTCTTGTAACCTAAAATCACTCCTGAACTTTATACATTGCTTGTAGTTAGATAAGGTAGGTGCCTGGTGAAAATTTGTATTAAAAAAAAATGGCCCTAATCTTTTAAATTCAAACAGCAGGCTGATAGTAGCCATTTGTTTTCTACCCCCAAATCCTACTAATGTGAATAAGATCATAATACCAAAGAAAAATAGGACAATTTGTTACTAGTAGTTCAGAAATTTTGAGAAAACTTGTAAGAGAGGCTTACCAGAGAGAAAACCAGTCAGGTTTGCAGAACAGAACAAACTGCCAGCATAAATTGACAACTTGCAGGACAAGACGAGGGTGTTTGTCCTGGGAAGCTCATAGAGTAACGTGAGACTGAGGCAAGATTCCTTTCTATACCTCATTCTTACACAGAGCTTGTCTGGGATGAGTTCCTTAAAGAACCGTTTCATAAGTTAAGTAGGAAACCAAGATTAGAAAAGTTCTTGGTGTGTTAGAATTAGATCACAAAGTGGAACCAATCAGGAATCCCAGATCTCCACAGTACACAGTAAGGAAAGTAATCGAATAAACCTATTGCCTGTGTAGGAATCCAGACCATCTTTCCACTGCAATCCATATGCTTTTTTATTTTCATTACAAAAGAGAGATTAAGAGTTATGAGGCATATTCATAAAAGTAGCAGCATGAAAGAAAAGAGCCACAGGGAAAAGCAGGCGTTGAAGGGACTAAAATAAGGGTAAGACAAAAATAGCATAGTACAATAAGAACATACACATATAGTGAACAAAAATTGTTCTCAGAAATTAAAGCCTTTGCTAAGGTAAAGCTCACTGGTAAGTCCGAATAGTAAAGTACAGAGAGCAATGTGATATAAATGATGTATATTTTAAAACAGTGAAATGAAATGGAGGCAGAATATGAATACAGAGAAAGGAAAGCATTGTTCCCCCCCAAAAAAACCCATCATCTGTTTGTTCCAGAAATAAAAGTAAAAGACTGAAGGACAGGGCAGGGAATTAACAATGTATCTGAAGAACACTGTTAATTTTGAAGAGCTGCCAAACAGTACAAATAATGGCCAAGAGGGAGATGAAATCTGTATCTTTGTTAAATTTCTAATTCTGAAGATAAAGAGGACTGAAGTACCCCAGAGTGAGAAATAAGAGGATTTGTAAAAACAAAACCCAAAAGAAAAATCAAGTTAGCAAAAATGGAAATCAGCTTTGTTTCTGCAGGTCAGACTTTTCGTCTGTGGCTGCAGTTATAATCTTATGAGAAAGAAAACCACTTGGACTTGTGGTTGTGATCAGTGGCTGACACATTAGTATGTAAAACAAGATTAAAAGCAGCCTGACACCTGAGAACTCAGGAGTGTACTGCTGTACCCCGAGAGCAGTGCTCAAGCCAACAAACAGATCAGAGATGGCCAAAGAAGATTCCATGTATATAGTCAGAGCTAAATGTCATTGGCGGTGTGGCTAAGAGGCTTCATACAGTTAGAAAGGAAAAATTCTCACAAATAGTAAAGGATGGTATAAAAACATCAGTAGATAAGAATTGAATCTCCATGTAATTTTAGTGAATAACCAGGATTATTCAGGAAGAAGGCACTTTTCGAATTTTTCTTTCCTTTCAGGAAACAGTATTCTGATCAGTTCTCAAAATCTGTAACAATGATATTTTTAAATGCTAGAAAAAATTAAGGGGCATCAACTATAAGTACAAGACATAGTGATCACTTGCTACCATTTGAAAACACAAATGACGAGTCCTCACTCTCTACACATTCTGCTTCTGGAAATGGAGTGAAACTACAGCATTGGTTCCCAATTTGGAGGTCACAACCCCAATGGGATTAGAATTACCCATTCACAGGGGTTGCCTAAGACTAACAGAAAAAAAATATTTACATTATGATTCATAACAGTAGCAAAATTACAGTTATGAAAGAGCAATGAAAATAATTTTATGGTTGGGCCACCACAATGTGAGAAGCTGTATTAAAGGGTCTCAGCACTAGGAAGCTTGAGAACCACTGCTCTATGGCTTTATTATTTTATTTTATATGTGCTTGTATATCTGTGTGTGTGTACATGTATGTGAGTATATGTATATTTGAATAGGTTGAGACTCTAAAAGAAAAAAAGGCATGGTAATACAATGGAAAAGTTAGATTCAGGTATATACTTATTATGAGACATACGTGCAAAATAAGAAGGATGTAGAAGGCTAAAAATAAAAGTTATGAAATATGAGGGTCCAGAGAAATGGCTTAGAAGTTAAGAGCCTGTATTGCTATTGCAGGAAGCAAGGTTAAGTAACAGGCCATTTTTTCCCTTCATCTAGAAATATGCACTATTTCTTATTTTATTTTATTTTATTTTTTCCAGTTCTTGGTATTGCAGGACTTTGCACATGCTAGACAAGTGGTCTACCACTAAGCTACATCCCATACCCCATGATCAGTTTTTAAATACTGTACAAATGTTTTAGAAGTACTGGGAGTATTTTGTGATGTTCTGAAGTTATAACGGGAAAATGCAGCCTTTTCAAAGTAATGGCAAACCAATCTCCAGACACGTTCCTTAAAGATAGACAGTGAACATACAAAACAGACTTTAAAATAAAGTTCTCTAGATATATTTGCATTGTTACTAAATAACATCATGTAACCCAAACACAGAGTATTAAAAATGTTGTGATCTTCCACTTTTACATGTAGAAGCTGCCTCTGAAACCTCAGGTTATTTTAGTTGACTTGTTGTTTTTAATTTTCAGAGCGTATAGGATTGGTCAGTGTAGAGATGTTAAAGTACTTAGGCTGATATCCTTGGGGACAGTGGAGGAGATCATGTACTTACGACAGGTCTACAAGCAGGTAAGGATGTGCCTCATTCTAAGTTAGAAATAAACATTTGCCTATTTTCAGAAATTAGGAACAAATTTGTATAAAGAAATTTTGAATTTTACTCAAGTATGGAATTTACTAAGATTATAAAATATACTCTAAATACACTTGCATGAAATATAATGATTGTTAAGTTCATTGGATTTTACCCCTGAAAGCTTCTTAAAACAATATTTTTTAAATCTTAATGTGCATTTAAATCACCTAGGGATTTGTTGACATACAGGTTCTGATTAAGTAGGTCTGAGGTACAGCCCAAAACTGAATTTGTTTGTTTGTTTTCTACTGTGTGCTGTGATTTAAGGCATGTGCCACTGCTGCCCTGGTGAATCTGCCTTTTTAACTAGCTCCCAGGAATGCCATTACTCTGCTAGTAGTACACTGATCACAATTTAAATAATGTCACACCTCCCGCACAGTGAGCCAAGATACAGTATGTGTACCATAGGTGAGTTTCAGGTACCCAGACGCATTGATCTCAAAACTGAGGTCAGGAATGCCTGAGCCACCTTCCAGCCTTAAGGAAACTGATCTTTTTACTTGAGGTTGATGTTCATGGGCTACCATCTTCTATAAGTGCTGAGACATGAAAAAGATGGAGGAAATGTGAACATACCATAGGGAAACAGGCCACAGAGATGCCCAGTAAATGAGATTCTACAGCTTGACTTCAGCTGCTGCTGCTTGGCACTCTGGCTGTTCATCTGAAATCTCACTGGCTCTTTACTGTGTGTAAGATATTAATTTCTGTTCTTTTTATACTTAAAAGTAAACATTTACTCATTTAGAATTGCTCATTCGAGAAGCTCTGGACTGAGGTTCAAGTTTAATTGCAAGTATTAAATTTGAATTGCTCCCTTTATATTTGGCTGGCATCTATTTAAGAACAAACATCTTTCACATGTGGTGGTAGTTAACCTAAAAATGATCCAATCTTAAAACTCATGCTAACTTCTTCATTCTAAAAATAGAATTACGCACAGCAGTTTGTGTATTTTCTTAAATTATTTAGCTCTAAAGGAAACAGTTTGGAATGACTTGAGAGAATTTCTTTTCTAACTTAACCGCTTGTGAAAAAAATGAGGCTATTTCTTAGGACTTGTTTTTTGAGTTCTGTCTTAAGTTGGTCATCAACTGTTGTTTCCTTAATCATTTAAGTTTTTTTCAACCTATTATTATATGTGCTTTCACTTTTATCTAAAATGGCTTATGCATTATAAAATAATATATAACAGAAATTTTCAGGGGACAGTATCATAGTATTTAGAACTTTGTATGATATATACAAAGATAAGGTAGCAATCTGGTAAGGAAAAGGTATAAAAGGTTTAGAGATAGGTTGGAATTTGAAACAAGGATGCATATCAGACATACAGGTACATTGAGCCTCACATTCTTTGGAGAAGAGAATAAAAAACTAAGAATGAAAAACAACTACAAATATGTTGGAACACAGAAAATTTCTCAAAGTCCCAGAAATTATTTATGGAATCCTTAAAGACAGAAAAGAGAGGAATTCAGTGAAAACCAGCTAGGGAAGACCACCAGAAAATCAGACAGCCACGACTGTAAAAAATAATTCCTGGGGACTCTTTGGCGTATCATGTGTAATAAGGTGGTTTAGCATGTACTCTTCTTATCTGTGCCCTGTGCAGCCAGCAGTTGTCTGTTCCCAATGTAGAGCAACAAATACTGGAAGCAAACAAGTAAGACAACTTAAACATTTTGCTGGCATACACAAGAAAGCCACTCTCATTACCCAGAAAGCTGAATACTTGGACAGTCTATACCCTACTCCAAATAACTATGGCAGTAGGCTGAGATGAGCAGGTATTTAAACACACTATTGATTAGTTGAAGAAAATGAAGAGCACAGCAGTGCACTGAATTATAGTTAGCAGATCTTAATCCCTGGAACCGTATTACTTCATCTATATGTATGTGTGTATGTGTGTATATATATGTATATATATAAAATGTTTGTTCATGAAACTATTTCTTTGTGGCTGTAATTGCACTGCAAAGACATCCAGGATAATCCAAGGGGGACTTGGATTTGGGTGTGCTGTGCTGCCATGCAGTGATTCAAATAGTATGTGGTGTAAAATAACATTTACACAGCACCTGTGTTTCTTCAAATTTGAGTACTATATGTAATCAAGTTTGGCATTTTGAAATTTGCTTCATTTATATGATGTACATAGATATGCATGCAGTTTATTTAGAAAACTTTACAGAAGAGTTGGATGAACAGCACAAAGAACTCCAAACTTGCCCCAATTCCCATTTTGGTAACATTTTTCATGTTTGCCTTCTTCTTGGAGCTGTTACTTTTCTCCTTTTTCTGGGCCATTTGAAACTCACAGACATAACATCAGTGTGTATTTCCTGAAAGACCATGTTTAAATTTTACACATTTATATTATATTATAAAATAGCCAGCAAATAGAGAGTACATCCTTATGGTGATGCTAAAATGTTACATATCCATATATATCATTAATGGCTCCATTGCTGATGTTTTCAAAACTCTTGACAATGGTGTTTCTAGGGTTTTCATGGTAGTTGTCAATGTAGTTAAATCTGCAGTTAGCCTGGTATCAACATATCTTTGTATAGTTACTTTAGATTATAAATAAGTGACAAACAATTATGCCAATGTTAGTTTTTAACATAATACTTTAAAAAGAAGAAAACTGTATTCAGATGTCATCTTTTCATTATTAAACATTTATAATAATGTAATCTTGACTCAGTAATTAAAAGACAGATAAAATAAGAAATGTAAGATGTCTGCTTCAGTAGGGTGGCCAGATTATTATTATTTCACCATAATGACAACATCTGCAGGGAAATTAAAACAAAATCTCTTCCTCAAGGCAATTCAGCCAACCCAACTAAATTGTGTGTCTGCAGGGAGTGCCAGGAAATTCTGACATACTATTGGAGCAAACACTTCAAAAATATCTTGTATTTTTCTGTTAAAGCAACTTCACTGTGTAGTGGTTGGAAGTGAAAATGCCAAGCGATACTTTGAAGCAGTACAAGGATCAAAAGAACATCGAGGCGAGCTCTTTGGTGTTCACAACCTCTTCAAACTAAGGGCCCAAGGGTCATGCCTTACGAGAGACATCTTGGAGGTATGGAGCTGGTCTGTGACCTCTTCAGTGATGGTTTAAGTACAGTTTCATCATTCAGGAATTTTGAAATATAGTAGGTGTTCCTTTTCAGAGAAAAATTTGGTTTTCCTTAGCAAAAATACTTGCTTAGAATTTCTACTTTTAAAGAGATGGGAAATGAATTGTGCCTCAAAGCCAAGCCTTTCTTGTGGATACTTACAATGTGTATATCCAATCTACGTATGAGATAATATAGCCTCTATGGACATTTTCAGACAGACAAAGTTGAGGAGTTTATTATTTTGAAAACAGCTGTTGAAATTGAGAGCTAAAAAATTAAGATTTTCCTAAATAAAACATGTTCTGATTAGAAGTTACAAAATACTCCCTGAGATGTACTCTCAAGTGTCTTAGAGATTTTTGTTTTCTGTTCCCAATAAAAATTCCACACCAGTATTTCAAACTCTTAGCTATGTTCATGCTCAGCATACAGATGTTTCTTATTCTTCAAATGAGACACTTACATGGCTTTAAAAATTCTGAAAGTTCATTAATTTGCCAGAACACTGAGAATATTATCATGTTTTCCAGCTGATATTAACACAGTTATCATAAAGCCCTGGAATATTGTCCTTTTTCATCTCCTTATTACATAGATGAGAAAACAGCCAAGGAGAACTCCAGGTTTTTTTTCCCTTGGCTTCTGGGACTTCATAGTAAAATTCTTGACTGTATTTCATTTAGTAAGCATCATAAATGAAGTTGAAGAAAAATTTCTCCCTGTTTTGAGCAATTTCAGTCTTGATGGAGATAGAGAACATTTGCACAAGTGGACATATAGGTCAGTGTTAAATGTAATACTTGAGTAGTCATTCAGGATGAGCGCTGATGAAGGGAGAGGAGCTGAACACAATGGACATGTGCCATCATTGTTACACGTAACGTCAGCATCTCGGCAATCACTCGGGATGAGCACTGGTGGATGGGAAAGGAGGCCTGTGTTGTCTGTGTCCTGCTCTGCAGTGTCTGGCATTCTGTAGTAGTTACTATAGAACTCCAAGTAACCGAGTAGCCCAATAATGTTCTGTAGTGGATATGGATGGCAAATGCCCTACTGACACAAACTAGAGCACTGTGGTTTCAACACTCAGCATCATGACGCTTGGGTGCTGAGTGTGCTCCTTCTTAATGATGTAAGAACAGCTGTTACAGGCAGGGTTCCTGGGCAAAGGTATAAACTTCTGTGCCACCCAAGAGTGCTTTCAGTGGAGTTGAACAGTTTCCTATTATGTGAAGCTGTATGAGTTTCTTACTTAGCAAATGAGAAAGTGTTATTAAGAATGCAAAGACACACTTAGTCTGCCTTTGCTGTTGTTTTCCTGGTTGTTTCGCTCTGTATTTACAGCTGTTCATATTCTTCCTTGTGGACATGATAGAGAGAAGGTCAAGTGGAAGCTGGCATCATGACAGCCACAACATGGCTGGAAGGGGGACCTTCAGCACAGGAACTAGACACAGTGAGTAACCAGAAAACATGGACTGTGAAAGCTCAGAGACACAGAGTCATAGGATGATGAGTGACACTAATTATTTTACGTGATCAGTATTCATAAAAACAAATCCAGGAGCAATCACCCTCAAATTAAACACCTTGTGTAAGTGACCACACCACACTATTTTCTTTTTTAACTGAAGGACTAGTTAAGTAGAGAAATGACCATCAATGTGTATCTAAGATTAAATCCAAGTATCAAAAATCATTCTGTAAAGCAAAGCAAGTATTGTATTAGTTTGAGTCTGTGATCTTAGGATCTCATTACACAGCCATGAAACCTACATTGTTACCAGAGGCCATGTTAGGTACAAGATACAAGAAACATGCAGAAGATTTTTATGTTGCTCTTTTTGCTGGGATTTTTTTTGTTTGTTTCTTTGGTTTGTTTGTTTGTTTTTGGTTTTTGTCTGCTTTTGAGATTTATATTTATGTGAACTGAGTGACCTTGAACTTGGGGAAATTGTTTTTATTTACCTATTTTGTGTTAACACCAGGTTGGTTCCTGAGGATCAGGCTCAGGTTGTTATGCTTGGTCAAAGATACCTCTCCCTCGGAGCCATCTTGCTGGCCCACGTTGACCTGTTTTTAAATGTAGATAAACACAAATATCAAATTTTGGTAGAAGTATCAGATGACTTTCTGAAAATATTAACAAATTAAGTCTCAATTTTAGGGAACTTGTAAAAGGAAGCTTTTTCCTGAGAGAAGCCTTCCCGTCAGCCTGGTTCCAGAGCCGCATGAGTCCCAAATAAACACACAGGAGGCTATATTAATTATGAAGCTGTTGGCCTTGCTTGTTTCTTACTGGCTAGCTCTGACTTAAGTAATTACCCCATAATTGTTAATCTAAGTATTTCTCTTACCGGAGAATAGTTCCGGGCTTCCTACCCCATGGCGGTTACATCTCGACTTCCTGTGTTTCTCTTACCCAGAGTCCTTCTGGACTCCTAGTCCCTCCCATCTAGATTCCCTATTGGCCAGACAGTGCTTTATTGACAAATGCACAGGACTTCCCCAACAGACACTAAAGATTATTATTAACTTCGGTTACTGTGAAAAGAGAATTGAATTTAAATTTGTAGCATTTTTTGTTCTTGAGACACAGTCTCATTTAGTCAAGACTGGCCTTGAACTCCTTGTGAAGTGGAGAATGGTCTTGAAACCCCGATCCTACTGTCTATCTTCCAATTCCTTTGCTTTTCTTACTACAGACATGAACCACTGCACACAACCCTTCCCTCCTATTTTCTAATGTTTCTGTCTGCTTTTTCATGCAGCCTAGAGACCCTGACTGTCAAGAATCCACAGATGTTTGTGAGCTCTACAGTGACGTCAGTGATGATGAGTCAGTAGGCCATTCCCTTGGAAAGACTGCTGAACACAAGACTGCTGGCTCTAGTAGAACTCCAGGCTCCTTAGCACAGCTCACTTTGCTACAGTGTGGATTCTCTAAATTGTTTGAGGCAAATTGTAAGTCAGTACAGGATGGCAATGGAAACGCTGCCTCCAGTGATGAAAGTTCTGATGAACAGCCCACATGCCTGTCACCAGAGGCCAAACAGACTGCTTGTCAGAAAACTCGGGACTCTGTTTGTACTTCAGAACATCGGAAATCAGAGAACATCCAAAATCCTAATGGAAAATGTGGTTTTGATAAAAGTAAGAAGACTTTAGAACAGAACGTTTCTTCCGAGTCTGATGATGAGAAAAAGTGTCACAGTACAGCTGGACTTCATGGCATGGGACAGAATGACACAGAGTCAGAAGACAGTGATGTCATCTTACCCACACAGTATCCAGCTCATAACAACCGTGTACGCTTTAAGCTGCTGTTAGGTGGATCCGAAGATTCTGAAACAGGAAACCCTGTGAAAATTAATTGTATTGATGGTAGACAGAACAATGGCAGAGGAAATGAACCAGTTTCAAAACCCTTGAGTCCTGAGAACATGACCTTGAAACCTGTTAGGAAAAGAAAATGCACAGATAATATTAGTGATGAATCTGATGACATCGATATGTTCCCCAAGTCAAGCATAAGAAAGCTTAAGAGAAAGAAGAAAAACAGGAGGGAGCTTTATAAGACTCCTACAGCAACAAAAGATCCAAAACAAGTGTGGGCAGCAGATGGGGATTGTAGCTCTCAGGTCATTGATGAGTTTTCATCCTCAGATGACAGTTTGTCTGTCAGCCACTTGAGTTTCTCTAAACTAAGTCACAGGGCAGAAACTGTAAAAGATGAAATCAGTTTGTTCCCCAAGCTTCCTGGCACGGATAAGAAAAATAGCACTTTTATGCCAAGGAAACCAGCAAGCTTTTTAAGTGAAAGAGTTGCCAGTCAAGAGCAGATGTGTGACTCAATGGATAAAATATTAGGTAACTATAGACATTCTGCAAACATTTCTCTAACTTTTCAGTCATATATTCAATGAGATTATTCAGTCATCTGTAAAGTAATTCCAAAATCAAGATGCTGCATTGAGGCAGAAATATTTAAGGATAATGAAGAAATAATGAAGGGACAGAGTAAAGGGAAGGCCACCTACAGGAGGATAGAGTTTTGCTGTCTCCCCGTAAGGCTCCTCCATGTGGGCCACCTTCACCATAGCTTTTCTGTTCCATATAACCAATTATTTTGACTTGTAGAGTAATTCTTTACATACATTATTGCCACGCCCACTGCAAGCCACTCCAAGCCAAGGTATCAGGAAAAGAGAGACCAGATATCCAGCTGTTTGTACTAAATGCATGGGCTGCCTTTATTGCCAGGAGAATGTGTGTGTCTTCATTGCAAGTGCTAAGAGGTCTCTCTCTTGTAAGAGGGAGGAGCTTTATATACAGGTTTACAGCACAGTGGAAAAGCCCCAGGTAGAAGAGATCATTGTTTTCCTCCTGCTGAATGGTGATGTCAGAGGGTCAAGGCCAGGGCAGTAAGCCAGGACTAGAAAACAGAAAGCACTTGGACTGGAAAACAAGTTGCACTTGTAGGCTGACCAGCAACTCACAGAGACCCCATGGGGTTGGGGCCCAACATCGTTAAGGTTTTATCACACGGATGTGTATTCTATGGTAGCATAGCTCAGTCTTGTCTATTTATTTCATTTTATATAGTCTGTGTAATCAGTAAGAATCTTCCTCCATCCTTTCATTATCCTATAATTTACTTAGAGTTCCTCTCAATCTGCATTTTGCTCATGATTCTCAGCAGTCAGACATGTGCTCTGTCCTCTGTATTACCTGCAAATGAGTAGTACTGGGAACTTCCAGTGGTCATGGTATTTGTATGTATGTATGTGCAGTTTATGTGCTATGTTTGTAATTATGTATTTTAATGTGTGTATTACACATATACTCATTTGTGTATGAATATGTATGCACATATATTTTATATAGTTGTATATGATGATGAATATACCTCATTCATCATGAAAGTACGTTTATATTTTCATATTTATAGTGGTACTTAATTAGAAAGTTCTCTCTCATTTATATTATATTTGAATACTATTTCTTTCATCTTGATCATTCTGCTCATATGCAGAAAATGATTTAGTTATACTGTTCCATAACTGCTTATTTGTTTTGTCCCATATTACACAAGAATGAAGGAATGGGTTGGCATGATGCTACAGTAAAGGTTGGAGATGTATCCCAGAAGTAAAGCGCTCGCTTAGGTTATCACCAATAGCATCACTGGAAACATTCTATTCCATTTCTTTCCATTTTTACAATGGATACGCTGTGTCAAAACTGTCAGAGGCATTGGCAGGACTATATAATCTTCTTCCCCTTTGGTTTCATTCCCTGTGGCATACAGGTAACTAGAAATTTCATGGTCCCTTTCAGTCCTTGTGTCAATGTCTAAGTCGTTTGTATCATCTGGACCTTGTTTTCTAGTAAACTTTTAAAGACATATTGCTGAAGGATTGTTTGTTTTTGTTTTTGTTTTTTCTTCTGAGGTTCTTGTGATATAATGATCTTTACCCTGAAAGCCAGTTTTACTGGATATAAAGTTCTTGACTCACACTTTGTTGAGTATTTTCAGTATGAAGCTTCATTTTCATCCCTCCTCCCAATACACAAGAAAATTATTTCCTTTTCATTGTTGTCCAGTGGTCTCACCAGATTGTGTCTGGTGGTTATTCTGAGTCTGGTGGTTATTCTGAGTTAGTATTCTCATATGCCAGTGCAGTTTCCACTCAGTCTTTCTTTCAGGAACATTTGTGCTGCTGTTAGTTACGTGTTCAAGTCTCTCTTCTTGTTCAGATATTCAGTCTTTGTTACTGGTCTGGAGAATTTATCAGTCTCTTAAATCATCTTTATCTTTTTATTTGTTTGGAGTTTTTTGTCATTATCTGTTGTATTTATTTCCTCTTAATGTCTCTTCTAGATTAGTCTTCACTTACAAAGGACATTTTCTTAATGTCTCTCTCTTGTTGAAACATTCCATCACTTGTTTCTAAATTATTCTAATTCTGATTTTGCATGGGGGGTGGCGAGGGGGTCAATACAAGGTTTCTCTGTGTAGCCCCGGCTGTCCTGGAACTTGCTCTGTAGATCAGGCTGGCCTCCAACTTCAAAGATCTGCCTGTCTCTGCCTCCCAGGTGCTGAGATTAAAAGCATGACCACCACTGCCTGACCTGATTTATATTGTTAGTTTGTGTCTTCTTTTGTGGTCTTAAGTGTCTTGCCTTGTTTTGACATCAGTTGTGGTTTTTGTGAAATGGTCATTTCTTGCACAGATATCACTGTGCTGCTTATTCTTTTTTTTTCCCCTCAAAATTCTCAGGATTTGACCTAGATGATTCTCTCTTGATCTTTTTAAGGGGGAATTATTCCCCTGCTTACTGCTGAATCCTGCTCTCCTGCTCCCTCTGATTGCTTCCCCATGTTGCTTCTCTTTGCTGGGCTCTGGCTGGGAAGTAGCACCGGTAAGTGGGCCACTGTGGGAATTTATATTATATAGTTAGCTTGCTGCATTCTCCGGAGGCCTTCTTACCTTAAGACACCCTGATCCCTTCAGCCCTGGTGAGCAGAACACCTTCCTTCTCTGTAGCCCTTCCTGCCTCCGAACAAATGCCCGTTGGCTATCCTGGGGTCTCCTGTTCTTTGGTCTGTCATACGCCACACCTTCCTTCTGGCTTCCTTCTTCCTTAATACAGATACCAATATTCTATAGGAGTGATTCTCAGCCTTCCCAACACTGCAGCCCTTTAATTCAGTTCCTCATGTTGCAGTGACCCCCAACCATAAACTTAGTTTCATTACTGCTTTATGGCTCTAATTGTATTACTGTTATGAATCGTAAAGTAAATATCTTTATTTTGTGAAAGGGTCATTTGACAATCCCCCAAGAGGCTGTGACCCCATAGGTTGAGAGCCACTGCTATATTCTTTTGCTATGGCAGATTGACTCCATTTGATTGAGGGCTCACGGGGCTGTCTTGTCATCTAATTTTGTTTACATGTGTCCATAGGTGTCTACTTTTGTCGTGTAGTTGGTGTTTGATTTCACCTGGGGATTCAGAGGGAATGGACAACCTCTGTTCAGAATCTGCTTAGTGATTATGAGTTTACATTGCTTTATGAGTCTTTTACTTATTCCCCATATGAAGAAAGATGAAATAAGGTGCTACAGGCACCTTAATTGTTAACTTGTATTTACTTATACATTAGGCTTTCTATTACGGATAAGACTCACTTAAAATTTTTCTATTATATATGTATATTTTGGTACCATTATTAACTCAGAACAGGATTATCAATTGGTTTGTTAACAGTAGTGACATTAGAGGGTTAAGGAATTGTTACAAATGCTTTTAAAAATAATTTGAGGTTTTTAACTGTAGGTGTCAGCATTCGAGTTAGTGATATTTTGCTTTGCATGTAGATATTTTCCTGGTAACTTTTAATTACATGATGTAGCAGTATCTTGTGTTTTGTGCTTGGCAGTTGCTGGAGGGTTCAGGGCTAAAACAGCAGAGTGTTGAGGTCACAGTTGAGGTTCATTGCCAGGGCTGTTTGAGGGAAATTTTATAGGCCTTAGTTCTAGCCTCCTCTTTTATGACCTCAATTCCAAAATAAATTATTAGAGCCTAGAAGCAAGCAGTAAAAATACAGCCATTTTAAAACTGCTTTCAGATTAAAAAGCTATGAGTTAATTTTTTTTAATTTCCTAAAAAGCTCTCATCTTGACATTCTCTGGGCATGTGTACAAAAATATACAAAATACAAACAATAAAGTTGAGTACCACCAACCAAACACAACTCCCTGGTCATAAACCCCATGCTCCCTCCCATCACTGCTATCAAGTACTTTTTTAAAGGAGCAGATAAACCTAGAGCACCTCCTTAAATGTGCAAACAGCAACTTGAAATTAACAAAGAAGAAAAATCAATAGAGGACCATTAACCATGATTCTCACAGACAAAAATCTCCATTTCAGATTTAAATTTAAAAATTGTTACTTAATCTCAGCAGTTCTCATATTGATGAAAGTAGAAAGTCATTTCTAAGTTAGCTTGGACCAACATATTTGAACTCCTTTTCAGTTTACTTTTTTAAAAATATTGTGATAGTAACATAATTTTTTAAAGATTAAAAATAAAACAAATAGCTTATACCTCTAATTTTGACAACACTCAGGAGGCTGAGATAGGAGAATTGCCATGAGTTTTAGGCCATCCTGAACTACAGCATGAGCTCTTGTCTCAAGAAAACAACAGAGATAATAAAATAAAGCAAACATAGCCAGGTGTGCGGATGTATACATTTAATCCTAGCATTGGGAAGTCAAGGGCAGGAGTAACCATGAGTTTGAGACTAGCCTGGTCTACGTAGTGAGTTCTAGTACAACCAGGGCTACAAAGTAAAGCACTGTCTCAAAAAGAAAGAGAGGGAAAGAAGAAAGGAAGCAAGCAAACGAGCATAGCTAGGAGGCTATGGCAGAAGACTCACAAGACTGAACTAACCTCAGCTACAGGGCAAAGCTTCCCAAAAACTAGAGGAAAGAACAAAGCAGGTATCCCCTGTTCTTAGTGTGCTGTTGGTAATTAGAGCGGTATTGCTTCATGGTATTGAATCATGGCATAAACATTGTTGTCTCCTAGGTGGTGTTCAGGAAGTGGCGTATATCCACTCCAATCAGAATGTGATCGGATCAAGCAGAGCTGAGAACCACATGAGCCGATGGGCAACACGTGATGTATTTGAGTTGAAACAGTTTTCCCAGCTCCCTGCTAATGTAGCTGTTTGCAGTTCTAAGGTGAGAAAATTTAGTTTTTATCTCACTTTTCACAAAAGTTTCTCAACAGCGTCCTTTTTATGCCCTCAAAAGTAGTTGTTGATTCTTTTAAGAGACATAACAACTAAGTGTGGAAATTCTATATAGCATTACAGTAGTTATTATAACCACAGAAGATGTTTGGGATTTGTGGTGGCTTGAATAAGAATGGGCCTCATAGACTCATATGTTTGAATATTTGGTCCCAGGTTGGTGGAACTGTTTGGGAAGGATTAGGGCGTGTAGCCTTATTGGAGGAGGAGTGTCACTGAGGGTAGGCTTTGAGGTTTCAAAAGACTCTAACTGTTCCCAGCATGCTTTCTCTGCCTGCTGCTTAAGGATCAAGATAGGCATCCTCAGCTTCTGCTCCAGCACATGTCTGCATGCTTTCCTGCCTGCTGCCAGGCTCCCTGCCATGATGAGTTGTGGTGATTTTGTTTATGTTTTAACAAATAAAGCTTGCCTGAACATCAGAGTACACACAAGCTAGTCACACTAATTAGCAATAGATGTCAGGCAGTGGTGACACACACCTTTAATCCCCCAGTACTTGGGAGACAGAAGCAGATGGATCTCTGTGAGTTCAAGGCCACCCTAGGCTACACAAGATTGAATCTGTCTAAAAAAGAAACAGTTCACACAAAGGTGATCCCTGTTGACAGAGTTTCTGTTCTACCTGGTCCCACAGCTATTTAGCCCCAAATTCATGGAGACTTATATTAATTATAAACTGTTTGGCCAATGGCTCAGGTTTCTTATGGCCTAGCTCTCTCTTAATTATTAATCTATAACTATGCATCTGTGTATTTCTACATGGTCTTATCTTACCAGAGAATGTCTGGACCTGTTACTCCTACAGCAGCAAATGGTGTCTCCCTGGCTGCTTTCCTCTGTCTCCTCTTCCCAGAATTCTCCTCGTCTGGTAACCCCACCTATATTTCCTGCCAGGCCACTGGCCATTGAGTGTTTTATCCATCAACCAATAAGAGAAACATATATACAGTAGAACATCCCCTATCATCTCCTCTTTCCACTGAACAAATACAGCTGGTACTGTTCTCAGAGGTGGGTTAGCAGATCCCAGCACTTGGGATCACATGCCTTTAATCCCAGCACCAAGGAGGTGGAGACAGAAGTGATACGGCTGGGCGGAGAAAGGAATGTAAGGCAGAAGACAAGAGAGATGCAGTCTGAGGAACAGTGCAGTCTAAGCAGTCTGAAGATGCAGTCTGAGGACAGGATCACCCCTTTGGTCTGAGCATTAGCAGAGAACAATTAGAATTCGTGCTACAGTGAGTTCTAGGACAACCAAGGCTATGTAGAAAGTCCCTGTCTCCAAAAAAAAAGGAAGGAAGGAATACTTGGAAAATCTCTTGCTCCTGAAATCTTAAAAATAAAACAGACTTCCCACCTACAAGCCTAGTATCTTTTATCTAGGACTTATTCAAAATCTTCTTGGTTACTGAGAATTCTTCGGAGCACTTCATGTCTTTCATCAATGTTATATTAAAAAATTTACATGTTTCAAAAGATTGTGCGTATGTGTCTGCAGCCAGATTCAAAACAAAACAAATCTATATATTTGTAAAAACTAAGTGAATAAGAGTGATTACAATATTCTAATGCTTTGCTGTGTGGGGAATAGTATACTGCAATCACAGCTTTGGCTAACTTACAAAGAAACATGTGCACCAAATGAACAACTTGTAAGAGAATTAATGGACACCACAGTGGTAGATAACTCTGTGACCTCCCAGAGTTCCTCAATACTTTTAAGCTAATAATTGTTAAACAAAAATAACAAAAACTGTGACTCTACTTTAAAAATTCACCAATGTCTTTAGGAAAGGCCTAAAATACATTAGCTGTTTTATGTTTCTTTTTGATTCTTATAGTTTATGCCTACTAATTTTTATTTGAAGAACATTTTATAGATGTTCTAAACTAAAACCTCTCTCGAAATCAATTTGTAATTATATCTGTTATTTGAAAATACAAATATGAAATAAGAATGTTTTACCTTTAATTATACTTGTTTCTTATTTTTATTTTTGAAAATTATTTTTATTAAAGTATAATTATATTACTTCTCTTCTTTCCTTTCCTCCCTCCAGCACCTGCCATGCCCATACCACTCCCTGTCAAATTGATGAGCTTTTTTCTTTGATTATTGTTACATACGCATTTATATATTATGTATGTATATACATATGCATAAATACTATATATACATATATATCCTGCTGAATTTGTTTTTGGAGTGTGTGTGTATGATTTCAGAGCCTACTACCTTAGTATTTGATAACCAACCTAAAGGGCTCATCCCTGGGAGAGAATTCTCCTTCTCTCAGCAGTCATTAATTGGCTGTAGTTCTTTGTATAGTGGACCCCATGAGATTTCCCCTTTCAATAGAATGAAATACCCATATTGGTGTTGTTATTGTTTTGGGTTTTGTTTAAGTAGCCATATTGTTGAGGTATCCAAGGGGTAGCTTCCCTGTCATGGAAATCAGTATGGAGAATCATCAGAAAAGCTAAAATTAATTTATCAATAATCCATTCGTCTATATCACTCCTTGGTATATGCCCAAAGGACTTGACATTCTATCCTATCCCATAATACTTCTTAGCAATATTCATTGCTGTTCTAAAATGGAAACAACCTAAATGTCCTTCAGAAGATAAATGGGTAATGAAAACGTGGTGCCTATTCACTATGGAATGCTATTCAGACATAACAAAAAGCAAAATTTATATTTTGATATTTTAAAACCATCTTTGTAAAAAGCTCATTTTAAAAGATAAGATATCTGGAATGAAAACTAGTACGTCTTATGTTTCAGTTCAGACCATTAAGAAAGGTTTTAAGTGTCTAAAAATTGATAATGCCTCTATTAAAGTCAGTGTGTTTTTATTATATCGAAATGTGTCACAGACTTCACTGAGCTTGCGGTGCTGTGTGTCACAGATCTGTGCCTATGGTGCTGTGTGTCACAGGACTCTGTACCTATGGTGCTGTGTGTCACAGGACTCTGTACCTATGGTACTGTGTGTTACAGGAACTCAGTACCTATGATACTGTGTGTCACAGGACTCTGTGCCTATGGTACTGTGTGTCACAGGACTCTGTACCTATGGCTCTGTGTGTTACAGGAACTCAGTACCTATGGTACCGTGTGTCACAGGACTCTGTACCTATGGTACTGTGTGTTACAGGAACTCAGTACCTATGATGCTGTGTGTCACAGGACTCTGTGCCTATGGTACTGTGTGTCACAGGACTCTGTACCTATGGCTCTGTGTGTTACAGGAACTCAGTACCTATGGTACCGTGTGTCACAGGACTCTGTACCTATGGTGCTGTGTGTTACAGGAACTCAGTTCCTATGGTGCTGTGTGTCACAGGACCCTGTGCCTATGGTGCTGTGTGTTACAGGAACTCAGTTCCTATGGTGCTGTGTGTTACCGGACTCTGTACCTATGGTGCTGTGTGTCACAGAACTCAGTACTTATGGTGCTGTGTGTCACAGGACTCTGTACCTATGGTGCTGTGTGTTACAGGAACTCAGTTCCTATGGTGCTGTGTGTCACAGGACTCTACCTGTGGCGCTGTGTCACAGACTTCACTGCACCTATGGTGGCGTGTGTCACACCATTTTGTTAAACCTGTGGTGATGCAGTGCCTCCTTTCTCAATCAACTGGATGTCTTCAACTTAAGTTTACTTAAAGTTTTCTGAAAAGAATGTACAAAGACAGCATTCAATTAAGGATTAATCACTATGGCAACTGAGATATGGTGACTAAAGTGGGAGGATGTGTTCTCCCCTGAGTTTCCTGCCAGCTGTCATAGTCAACCTCTGCTGCCTGAATCCAAGCCAAAATATAGACTGTGACCAACTCTAAGAAACTATATCTGTATTTTTATAAATTGGTACAAGTATCGGACTATAAAAGAAGACTTAATCCCCTGAATTGGATGACAGACACTTGGCACTCCTGCCAGTGTTTGACAGAAAAATAATGGGTTGCTTTGTAGTAAACCCTGGATTAATAGTAAACCCTTCTTTATATTATTGCAGTGTGCTGTGAATGAGAGAACTAAGCGAGCTGTCAGACTGAGGTGGGAGTGTCTTTTTTATAACCAACGCAGGTTTAAGTGTTGTTGAGAATACTGTAAACTCAAAATGTTGAGTTACCAGGAACGTCTCTTGTACGTATGTTAGATTGACATTTTGTAGATTACCTAAAGCAAGGATTTCTGTGAGCTCTGGTGGATTGATTGCAGTGTGTTTATACAGCCTTGGGAGTCAGCAAGGAGGAATGGACTGTTTATAACGAGCAGACTTTGGGGAAAGAGAGCCTCCTATTATTCTTTTATCAGGACAATGGCCAATGGCATAAAGAAATTGACTGGTTTATGAGATAGCCCAGTAAGTAGAGTTTGTGGTTTTAACATATTAACAGAATTAACTCTCAGTGGGATTTTTCTTAGGTCTATCAATTTTTCTCCTTTATCTCAATATTAACTTTGTGTAGTTTTACAAGTAACAGGTAGGATTAAGTTTTCTGTGTATATATGCATGAGGTTATGGTACTACTATTGGCATGAAAGGAGTTTTGTGTTTTTATCCCTAGAAGGAAGATTGATTGTAGGTGACAGTGTATCATATGAGTGAAAAATGCTCTTTTATCAAACAGGAGGATAAGCCAGTACTCTTGTACACATAGGCCTGTTCCTTCTTATGGCTAGGGTTCAGGAAAACCTGTGGCAGCCTTCTTCATAGTATCCAAAACACACTCACCTCCTTGCAAAAAAAGGTGCTGAAATTACTCAAAACAGAACATAGATGTTTATTATTATAATTATGATAATGGTTTAAGAGTCAAGTGAGGGATAAACTCTTCTGTGGATCTGTATAGTTATCTATTATTACTTTTTATTTGTTGTACCAATAAGCTGTTAGAATACCTTATTATCTAC